TAGGGAGAGATTGAATATGTCCGTAAACACTCCAGCCAGCTGGTCTGCGCATGCTCTGAGGACGCGGCTAGGGATGCCGTCTGGGCCGGCAGCCTTGCGAGGGTTAACATGCTTAATGTCTTACTCACGTCGGCCACGGAGAACGAGAGCCCACAGTCCTTGGGAGTCGGTGGCACTGTGTAATCCTCAAAGCAGGCGAAGAAGGTGTTTAGCTTGTCTGGGAGCAAGACGTCGGTGTCTGCGACGTGGCTGGTTTTCCCTTTGTAATCTGTGATTGTTTGTAGACCCTGCCACATACGTCTCGTGTCTGAGCCATTGAATTGCGACTCCACTTTGTCTTTGTACTGACGTTTTGGCCTGTTTTATTGCCTTGCGGAGGGAATAACTACACTGTTTGTATTGGACCATATTCCCAGTCACCTTGCCATGGTTAAATGCGGTGGTTTGCGCTTTCAGTTTTGCGCGAATGCTACAATCTATCCACGGTTTCTGGTTTGGGTAGGATTTAATAGTCACTGTGGGAACAACATCCCATATACTTCCTAATGAACTCAGCCACCGTGTCCGTGTAAGCGTCAATGTTATTCTCAGAGTGCCCAGAACATATCCCAGTCCGCGTGATCAAAACAATCTTAAAGCATGGATTCCGATGGTCAGACCAGCATTGAATAGACCTTAGCACGGGTACTTCCTGTTTGAGTTTCTGCCTATAGGAAGGGAGGAGTAAAATGGAGTCGTGATCTGATTTGCCGAAGGGGGAGGGCCTTGTAGGTATCTCGAAAAGGCGAGTAGCAGTGATCTAGTGTTTTCCCTAAACGAGTACTACAGTAAATGTGTGGATAGAACTTCGGTAGCGTTTTCTTCAAATTTGCTTTGTTAAAATCCCCAGCTACAATAAACGCGGCCTCAGGATATGTGGTTTCCAGTTTGCATAAAGTCCAGTGCAGTTCCTTGAGGGCCGTCGTGGTATCGGCTTGAGGAGCAATATACAAGGCTGTAACTATAACCGAAGAGAATTCTCTTGGGAGGTAATACGGTCAGCATTTGATTGTGAGGTATTCTAGGTCAGGTGAACAAAAGGACTTGAGTTTCTGTATGTTATCACAATCACACCATGAGTAGTTAATCATGAAGCATACACCCCCGCCTTTCTTCTTCCCGGAGAGTTCTTTATTCATCTGCGAGATGAACTGAGAACCCAGCTGGCTGTATGGATGGGGACAGTATTTCCTGAGAGAGCCATGATTCCATGAAACAGAGTATGTTACAGTCTCTGATGTCTCTCTGGAAGGAGATCCTCGCCCTGAGCTCGTCTACTTTATTGTTCAGAGACTGAACATTAGTGAGTAATATACTCAGAAGCGGTGGATGGTGTGCCCGCCTCCTGAGTCGGACCAGAAGTCCACTCCGAATACCTCTTCTCCGCCGGCGGTGACTTGGAGCAGCATATGGGATAAGTTCAATTGCCCTGGGGGAACGAACAAAGGAACCAATTCGGGAAAGTCGTATTCCTGGTCATAATGATAGTGAGTTACCTGCGCTCTGATATCCGAAAGTTTTTTCCGGCTGTATGTAATAACACACTCAACCACTTTTAGTACGTAAATAATAGCTAAATAAATCTTGCTATATTGTATTTGTGTAGTTATATTAAATGTATTGAAATGTAAGTCAATCAATCTCTGCAATGTATGTTTGTTAGTTGTACCTCAGGGCTACTTTAGCTCTCTCTAACTCAGTTAGGCCACACAGCTCAGTGGTACAGGGTGTGGTTAGAGAGGAGGAGTTAGAAGTCAAAACACATCTGTTTAATGGCTTCAGAGGAGTAGTTGCCTCTTTTAGCCTTAGTATTTCCTTTCTTGACTTTGCACTGATCAAAGCGTCCTATTCCGAGAAACACCTTATAAGGAGAATATGATTGGGGGCCAATGAGGGTACGCATCACTTCCTGTGGTGCGGGTGACTGGATGGAGCAGCTCAGTGTAAATTGAGACCTGATGAGATGAACATTACTGGGTCTCTCATAGACTAACACTAGGGGATGAAATGTCCCTTATGCTCTCTCTCTCTCTCTCTCTCTCTCTCTCTCTCTCTCTCTCTCTCTCTCTCTCTCTCTCTCTCTCTCTCTGCATGTCTCGCCAGGCTTGTTGTTGTTTTGCATATTTCATGCATATGACTAATTACACTAATATACTTGCTGTTGTGGAATTTTTAATTGACTATAGTTTTTGACGATGTCTAAAACATATTGATTGTTTTAGCGAGATAGCTTGTATATGTAACACGTTATTTTCTTCTTGTTTTTCATTTAAAGATGCAACTGAGAGATCACCAACCCAACCAGTCGATCAGGTTAACTCTTTGTTGTATCACTCCACTTTGTTATGGCTCCACTTCTCTCACACAGAACCAAGACAGTGACGTGGTAAACTATGCAGCTGTGAGTTTCACCACCAAGGAAAGCTCCTCCTCCAGAAGAGCAAGAGCCAAGACCAGCAGAGAGGACGCAGAGCACTCTGAGGTCAGGTTCTTTCAGCAGGAGTGAGACGTGAAGAACCTCACCACATTGAACAGAAAACACATCCATATACATCAGAAATAACTTTGAAGGCCTTGTGATGACTGGTAAATCAACCGCTTTTAGTACGTAAATAATAGCTAAATAAAATAGGAAATAGCTCTACTTGTAACCTAGAAAAGCAACTTGTATTAGAATATTAGGTGAATAGACTTTAATTATTTCTCTACTGTCTTAAATATTGGAATAGCATCTTAATTGAATAAATGTTGCTGATCAAAAATCACTGCTTCCTTTATGAGTTTGTTATTACACCCTAGTGTATTTTCATCATGTTATATGTTACATTTAGATATATTAAACTGTTAAAAAGAATGACCCTCTAGTTGAACGGTGAAGTCAAAGTGAAGACAGGAAAGTCCCTAACTAGGATTGAGTTGTGTTTCACTATATTAGATCACTCCAATATATTGGTATCACTCCGCGGCGGAGGGATACATCCGAGGATAGGATTTACAGATTTACTCCCGTGTACACCTGTGTCACGGCTGTGGTCTGCCCCTATATATAGACACCATGGCCGCGACACACGTTCTCTTTAATTTTCTCGCCGGACGTCTGTATGGTTTGAGGTACAAACTTTCTGTAGTTCGCTTGGTAAGTCACTGTTAAGTGTAATATCTTGCATGGAAGTATACTCACTGGCCAGCCCCTCCTCTTGAGTGCTCCACTCGCTGCGCGCGGTTGATCTGTATCTTCCGCCCGTGGTTTATCGTACTTGTGTTTTGTTGGCGTTACACTACGACTCCGTGTGCATCCATTAGTATGGTGGCTCTTGCTGCACAAACTGTCTCAGGCCGGGGGAACTTTGTGGCATCCGAGACTGCACCGCCTCAGTCTGTGGGCTTCGCTGCTGAACGGCACCAATGGTCCATGTTAGGACTACAGGAGGGCGTAATGAACACCATGCAGAGCACAAGGGCACCGGCTACAACCGCAGCATACCAGTTACGCTGGCGGTTGTTCTGCTCTTGGTGCACTGGTATTGAGGTTGTGCCTGAGTCATGCGGGGTGCAGTATGTCCTCCAATACCTGCAGTCTCGCTTGGATGAGGGCTTGGCAGCCTCTACACTGAGAGGGTAGTTGGCCGCTATATCTGCCTGCCATGTGGGGTGGATGGACAGGCCAGTGGGGCGCCATCCCATGGTCTCCAGGATTATAAAGGGGGTTTGTCGCCTGCGTCCAGCTAGGACCCGCTCAATGGCGAGCTGGGATCTGGATGTGGTCTTGGCAGCTTTGGCAAAGCCGCCTTTCAAACCGTTGGAGTCTGCCTCCCTGAAACACCTCTCTATGAAGGTGTTTTTTTTGGTAGCGATTACTTCCATGAAGAGCGTGGGTGAGCTCCATGCTTTTCCGGTAAGTTCTGAGTGCTAACGGATGGACCCCGGTGGGAGGAGTATGTCTTCCTCCCGAAGGTTCTGTCAGACAGGCATGTGAACCTCCCTTTTATCCTGTCTGCTTACGACCCCCCGGCAGTGGCCGGGGACTCTGGGCCTCCCTCCGGCATGCTGTGCCCTGCGCTGGCACTGGCTGCCTATGGGGAGCGGACACTTTAAGTGAGAACAACAGACCAGCTCTTTGTCTGCTATGGTGAGAGAGTCCTAGGGGCTGGGCTAACAAAGCAGAGGCTCTCTCACCGGATCGGGGACACGATTACGACAGCATACCGCCTGGCTGGCAGGCCAGTGCTGGGATCTGTGGTGGCACATTCAACACAAGGTGTGGCTGCGTCCTGAGCTCTACTGAGAGGAGTGCCCCTCGCTGATATCTGTGCTGCAGCCAGCTGGGCTTCCTCTTGCACCTTTGCTAGTTACTATCGGGTAAATGTGGCACCTCCCTCTGCGGTTGGTTCAGCGGTCCTGGCCGTGCTGGGACTTCGCCCGCTGGCTTGCAAGGTCCCTCTAGCACTGACTAAATCTGGTACGGGTATACCAATATATCGGAGTGATCCATATAGCTCACATAACCGTGGTTACATACGTAACCTTCATTTCCTATCTCACAACATGGGTGACCTTCTGATCCAAACATTATATTATCAGGTTGTATTTTCTTGTATCCGGTCTTGCAAAGTGACACTGATTCAAACTTCATAGAAATACTGTTTCTGTTCCACATATGACCTACTGAACAGCCAATAAGGTGTTTAGCAGAACACATTTAATAGACCAATCAGACCCCACCTAGATCTAACCAATCAGACCACAGATGTGTGATTCAATGTATTTTTTACAAGTTGCACACTACAAATCACACCTGCTCCAGAAAAGCTAGGGTCGAGGTCAAGATGGTTGAGCTCTTGGTCTTTCTTCTTCTCTGCAACTCTTGTAAGTGACACATTTCCTAAGAAAGTCAACGTTCAAGCTGGGTTCAATAATATGTGTTTTGTATACTGTCTTTTTCTGAATGGAAATACTTGATTATGTTTCAGGCGTTTTATGTATTGATGAAAGTAGGGATATTTCACCTAAATATATATTCAACAAAGCAAGAGGACGTTGGGATGTACTACTGTGGATTGGTGCGCTTAAACTTCATAGAGTTTGGACCTGGAACCACCTTGATGCTTAAAGGTAATGCAATTACTTGTAAGTTTAAAGTCATACGCTGATAAATTATATGCTGAAATATAATATATGACATGATTTAAAAAAAAAAAATCAGTGATTATGATAAGTCAATAACATTTCATTTCAAAGGTACAAAGTTAAATAGTAATACTGTTGTCCAGAGAGCATTTGTCTGAGTCAGTCCAGCCAGGAGACTCTGTGACTCTGAAGTGTACAATACACACTGAGACCTGTGTAGGAGAACACAGTGTCTATTGGTTCAGTCATGGCTCAGGAGAATCCCGTCCAGGAATCATTTACACCCATGGAGACAGGAGTGATCAGTGTGTGAAGAGCCCTGAGGTTGGGTCTCCTACACAGAGCTGTGTCTACAACCTCCCCAAGAAGAACCTCAGCCTCTCTGATGCTAGGACTTACTACTGTGCTGTGGCCTCATGTGGAGATACTGTTTGGGAACGGGACCAAGCTGAACATTCATGGTAAATCCCATTTAATCTGTAAATATCCCCAACCATACTGTATATTTATGCAAACGGCCTACCTCCAAATGACCCCATACATTTGTCTCAACAAGCTATACAATAACACCATTAGCTTTTGATTCCATATTTTTCTGTTTAATGAAATTTCTAAGCGCTCATGAATACAATATGAATTCCCTGATACCCTTTCCACAGTTCCAGAGCACGATTCTCCATTTGATCAGTCCAACTGTTCTGGCCTTGGTCGTCTCCAACATCGTCCTGGGGATAGTGACCCTTCTACTTGTCTGGGTGCTGTGCTGTTCGACCTAATATTCAGCATATTTGTGCTTTATGTGTTATTAAGCTTTATTGGAAATAATAGGTCACTGTACTAGATGAAGATTTCTGATCTTTGTGTTTGTTGTTAATTTTTCCATGGAACTTCTGTCTGTCACTGTTCCACTGACTGTCAGGTCATTGTAGTGGGTGTACAGTCTGAACAGTCATGTCTTTTGTGGAGTGTTTTCTTCCACAGGAGAATAGAAACATTATATAGTAGATCATGCTATCATCATAATGTATTTCCTCATGGCTCCACCACCCTCAGAATCAAGACAGTGACGTATTGAACTATGCAGCTGTGAGTTTCACCCCCAAGAAGAACTCCTCCTCCTCTAGAAGAGCAAGAGAGAAGACCAGCAGAGAGGATGCAGTGTACTCTGAGGTCAGGCACCTGCAGCAGCAGTGAATATATCACCACTGTCACAAAGACTCCAAGGTGAAATTAGTATGGAATTTACAATTTTAACATTGTCTGTATGTTAGATTTATATAATGATCCTGTAATGCCTTCAATAGCCATAACTTTTTACAGCTTTTTATTGTAAGAAATCATCTGATAGAGAATCCCATTTTGGCTGCATGACCGTGTGTTTGTAACATAATAAACCATTCATTTTTATGCTGTGTGGGTAAAATCACTGGGGAAGCCAAGCCATATTACAACCTATGTGTTGTGATAATTGCATTGTTTACTCTATAACCTGTTAACTCATATGCCTTGAGACCATCATATATAGGCCTAAAGACCAAGACAATAAGAAGACACAATGGCAGAATATATTCAACCACACCTTTGTTCTTTCACAAAACCGGATAGCAACCTTTATCCAGTGAAGTCCACAAAGCATACTGAATGTACACCACAGCATGGTCAAGGAAGTTAATGTTTCCCACATTGTCGGACCACTAAACAACTACTGATTTAGAACCACAGAGAGTTACCGCAAGTCGCAAAGAAAACAGGAGCTGCCTCCACTATTCCAGCACCATTTCAAATTCAACATTTCAACATCATCAAATCACCTCAGCTTAGTCTAATACAGTGACAACTAAAAGATACCAAAAACTATTTAGTCCAATCAACGTAAGCTAAATATTATGTGGCTGTCCATGGTTCTGATTTCTGTGTGCGTGTACGTGTTTGTGTGTGTGTGTGTGTGTGAGTGTGTTCGTGCAAGTAGAAAAACATGTTGACTCACCCTACTTGTAGAGAAACGCCAATGCCACACGCTTACATTTTTTGTTGTCCTAGGCTACCTGGCTAAAATGCTTGCTCGTTAGCCTAACTTCCATTCATTGGCAACATTAGCTAATTAACATTAGCCTTCTACATCTAGCTACATATTGAACTTCCATCCTCTCAGGCCAGGGGCACAACAATGTATGAATTCATGGTTGGATCAGAATGGCCGTTATAATCAGAATTAAGAAAAAACATAAATCCAAATCCCTATCTCCATCCGTTGCTAATTTAGGCAAGGGACAATTTTAGTCAGCTGGCTATTCACCGGAGGACAACAACACAACAAGATGCAACAATACACGTTTTTCTGTCAATGACGTATGCTCTCAATGGGATTTGAAAGGAGTGATGTTCAGGTGCATCCTGTTTCCATTGATCATCCTTGAGATGTTTCTACAACTTTATTGGAGTCGACCTGTGGTAAATTCAATTGATTGGACATGATTTGGAAAGGCACACACCTGTCTATAGAAGGTCGCTGTCACGCCCTGGCTATGGGGACTCTTAAATGTTGAGCCAGGGTGTGGATTTTTCTATGTTTAGTTTTCTATGTTTTTTGTTCTAGATCGTTTAGATCTATGTTGGCCAGGGTGGTTCCCAATCAGAGGCAGCTGTAGCTCGTTGTCTCTGATTGGGGCCAATACTTAGGCAGCCTGTTGGCACCAGTTAGTTGGTGGGATCTTGTTCCGTAAAGGTTTGTGTTGTTGTAACCTCAGGACTTCACGTACAGTGAGGGAAAAAAGTATTTGATCCCCTGCTGATTTTGTACGTTTGCCCACTGACAAAGAAATGATCCGTTTATAATTTTAATGGTAGGTTTATTTGAACAGTGAGAGACAGAATTACAACAAAAAAATCCAGAAAAACGCATGTCAAAAATGTTATAAATTAATTTTCATTTTAATGAGGGAAATAAGTATTTGACCCCCTCTTAATCAGAAAGATTTCTGGCTCCCAGGTGTCTTTTACACAGGTAACGAGCTGAGATTAGGAGCACACTCTTAAAGGGAATGCTCCTAATCTCAGCTTGTTACCTGTATAAAAGACACCTGTCCACAGAAGCAATCAATCAATCAGATTCCAAACTCTCCACCATGGCCAAGACCAAAGAGCTCTCCAAGGATGTCAGGGATAAGATTGTTGACCTACACAAGGCTGGAATGGGCTACAAGACCATCGCCAAGCAGCTTGGTGAGAAGGTGATAACAGTTGGTGCAATTCTTCGCAAATGGAAGAAAAACAAAATAACTGTCAATCTCCCTCGGCCTGGGGCTCCATGCAAGATCTCACCTCGTGGAGTTGCAATGATCATGAGAACGGTGAGGAATCAGCCCAGAACTACACGGGAGGATCTTGTCAATGATCTCAAGGCAGCTGGGACCATAGTCACCAAGAAAACAATTGGTAACACACTACGCCGTGAAGTACTGAAATCCTGCAGCGCCCGCAAGGTCCCCCTGCTCAAGAAAGCACATATACAGGCCTGTCTGAAGTTTGCCAATGAACATCTGAAAGATTCAGAGGAGAACTGGGTGAAAGTGTTGTGATCAGATGAGACCAAAATCAAGCTCTTTGGCATCAACTCAACTCGCCGTGTTTGGAGGAGGAGGAATGCTGCCTATGACCTCAAGTACACCATCCCCACTGTTAAAAATGGAGGTGGAAACATTATGCTTTGGGGGTGTTTTTCTGCTAAGGGGAAAGGACAACTTCACCGCATCAAAGGGACGATGGACGGGGCCATGTACCGTCAAATCTTGGGTGAGAACCTCCTTCCCTCAGCCAGGTCATTGCAAATGGGTCGTGGATGGGTATTCCAGCATGACAATGACCCAATACACACGGCCAAGGCAACAAAGGAGTGGCTCAAGAAGAAGCACATTAAGGTCCTGGAGTGTCCTAGCCAGTCTCCAGACCTTAATCCCATAGAAAATCTGTGGAGGGAGCTGAAGGTTCGAGTTGCCAAATGTCAGGCTTGAAACCTTTATGACTTGGAGAAGATCTGCAAAGAGGAGTGGGACAAAATCCCTCTTGAGATGTGTGGAAACCTGGTGGCCAACTACAAGAAACGTCTGACCTCTGTGATTGCCAACAAGGGTTTTGCCACCAAGTACTAAGTCATGTTTTGCAGAGGGGTCAAATACTTATTTCCCTCGTTAAAATGCAAATCAATTTATAACATTTTTGACATGCATTTTTCTGGATTTTTTTGTTGTTATTCTGTCTCTCACTGTTCAAATAAACCTACCATTAAAATTATAGACTGATCATGTCTTTGTCAGTGGGCAAACGTACAAAATCAGCAGGGGATCAAATACTTTTTTCCCTCACTGTATCGTTCGTTTTGTTGTTTTGTTCGTGTGTTGTGTACTAAATAAAATGTACGCTTATCACGCTGCGCCTTGGTTCCACGAGTCATCAGTCAACGTGCGTGACAGTCGCACAGTTGAATGTGCATGTCAGAGCAAAAACCAAACCATGAGGTTGAAGGAATTGTCCGTAGAGATCCGAGACAGGATTGTGTCGAGGCACAGATCTAGGGAAGGGTACCAAAAAATTTCTGCAGCATTGAAGGTCCCCAAGAATACAGTGGCCTACATAATTCTTAAATGGAAGAAGTTTGGAACCACCAAGACTCTTCCTAGAGCTGGCCGCATGGCCAAACTGAGCAATCGGGGGAGAAGGGCCTTGGTCAGGGATTTGACCAAGAACCCGATGGTCACTCTGAAAAAGCTCCAGAGTTCCTCTGTGGAGATGGGAGAACCTTCCAGAAGGACAACAATTTCTGCAGCACACCACCAATCAGGGATTTTTGGTAGAGAGGCCATACGGAAGCCACTCCTCAGTAAAAGGCACATGGCAGCCCGCTTGGAGTTTGCCAAAAGGCTCCTAAAAGGCTCTCAGACCATGAGAAACAAGATTCTCTGGTCTGATGAAACCAAGATTGAACTCTTTGGCCTGAATGCCAAGTGACACGTCTGGAGGAAACCTGGCACCTTCCCTACGGTGAAGCATTGTGGTGGCAGCATCATGCTGTGGGGATATTTTTCAGTGGCAGGGACTGGAAGACTAGTCAGGGTCAAGGGAAAGATGAACGGAGCAAAGTACAAAGAGATCCTTGATGAAAACCTGCTTCAGAACGCTCAGGACCTCAGACTGGGGCTAAGGTTCACCTTCCAACAGGACAACAACCCTAAGCACACAGCCAAGACAACGCAGGAGTGGCTTCGGGATAAGTCTCTGAATGTCCTTGAGTGGCCCAGCCAGAGCCCAGACTTGAACCAGATCGAACATATCTGGAGAGACCTGAAAAAAGCTGTGCAGCGATGCTACCCATCCAATCTGACAGAGCTTGAGAGGATCTGCAGAGAAGAATGGGAGAAACTCCCCAAATAGAGGTGTGCCAAGCTTGTCAATATTTCCGTTTTTTATTTTTAATACATTTGCAAAAATGTCTAGAAACCTGTTTTTGGTTTGTCGTTATGGGGTATTGGGTGTAGATTGATGAATATTTTTTTTATCTAATCCATTTTAGAATAAGGCTGTAACATAACAAAATGTGGAAAAAGTAAATGGGTCTAAATACTTTCCGAAAGCACTGTATATTTCAATCTGAAATACATAGTTTGCATAGTTCAATAATAAGTTTGCACTATTACAGCTGGCTCTACCTGCTCCAAATAAATGAGAGATGGTGTCGTAGAAATGTAGATAGACTTTATTACACAAATTAACAAAAGCCGAGCTGGTCTGCAGAGCAACTGCCTTCCCAACACTCCGCCCTCAGTTTCTATACAATTCTATTCCTGCTCATTTTACATACTTTTTAGCTTAAACCCTCCCAGTTTAGTTCCTCCACCATTGTTTCCAAGCTTTCATCTTTTGACCGCTCAGCCCACTCTCTTAATTTATGATAGCGGCGAAATCTGACTTCTCCTCCTCCTATGTATTCAGTCTCCTCCTTCTAGTGGAAGAACCAAGCTTTCTCATGTAAAAAATAACAGAGCCATCTCCTGGCTCTGCTCTGTTTATTCTAAAACATATCAATCGATACTTAAATATGGTTTAAACATGGCAGGTGCATAACCCATTCTCAACCATATACATTTAAGACATTCCTCATGCATTGCCTCATGCATAACAGTATTTCCCACACATAGTAAGAATGAACAGGGCCATTCCAAAGAGCCATGTCCTGACTCTGGCTCAGCCTTCCTCCTTGTGTACCACTCGGTACCACCCTCTGTATTCAGTTAGTCATACTGCTTGTCTTTATGATTAACTATTGTTTAACTTTATAGTCTAAAAAGATTTACTATGTTTAACATATGGTCTACAGAAAAATACACAATAATGGCCAGACAGAGTTTTGTCGTTGTCCTCTGTAGATAGATCCCTATCATGTGTGGCTCCTCAGAGGAGGAAGGGGAGGACCATCCTACTCAGTGAATTTCAGAAGGAAAGAAAATTGTGAAACATTAAAAAAGTTATCCTTTTTAGATAAAACTATACTAAATATATTCACGACACCAAATCATTGACTAAAACACACTGTTTTGCAATTAAGTTCTACAGTAGTCTCAGCAGCACTATGTAGGGTAACACCATGGTGTAGCCGGAGGACAGCTAGCTTCTGTCCTCCTCTGGGTACATTGACTTGAATACAAAACCTAGGAGGCTAATGGTTCTCACACCCTTCCATAGGCATACACAGTAATTATTACAACTTCTGTAGGACGTCCAACAAACTATCAGAGCTCTTGCAGCATGAAATGACATGTTGTCCACCCAATCAAAGGATCAGAGAATGAATCTAGTACTGAAAGCATAACATTTCAAAATGGGGTCACGGGCAAAAAGGTTTGGGTAGCCCTGGGTTAGTATATCTGACACCAAGACAGATATGCATGCTATGATCATGAGCTAAAAACAAGTATGGGTAGCTGCAGCCCAATATGGCGACCGGAGTATGGGCGAGTGGGTGTGTCGAAAGGAGTGGGTGTATGGAAAGCAAATCAGCTAATTGGGCAGATTTGTTGCCACTCAAGACCGTTTTGCATGGCTGATTTGGCTGAATGACGAGACGATAAGCCGGTGACCAGTGCACCGCTGTTGTATCGACGTGCCTGCTGACCTGAGGTGCTTCTTACTGGGCAGCTATATCACTGTCGTGTCGTCAGCAGTAGTTAACGTGGCCATGTTTTACCATCACATTATTTTATTTCATGTAGGATAGCAGCATACACAATAACTAATATTGATAACCATCTGGATGTCACCTTGATACATACATATAGTCTACTACTCAATGGGGATACCATGAACAGCAACAACACCGGGACACACTGCACTTTGCTCCCGTTTGCCAAGCACTAATGTCCGGCAACGGCTTTGGAAGTAGCTACCTACTGTAGTAGCCAATATCAGGGTGACAGTCACAGTAAGCACACACACACAACACAAACTCGCCAAGACAGTCGTGAAGAGGGCACGACAACACCTTTTCCCCCTCAGCAGACTGAAAAGATTTGGCATGGGTCCCCAGATCCTCAAAAAGTTATACAACTGCACCATCGAGAGCATCCTGACCGGTTGCATCACCGCCTGGTATGGTAACTGCTTGGCTTCCGACAGTAAGGCGCTACAGAGGGTAGTGCGTATGTCCCAGTACATCACTGGGGCCAAGCTTCCTGCCATCCAGGACCGATATACTAGGCGTTGTCAGAGGAAGGCCCAAAAAATTGTCAAAGACTCCAGTCACCCAAGACACAGACTGTTCTCTCTGCTACCGCATGGAAAGTGGTACCGGAGCGCCAAGTCTAGGTCCAAAAGGCTCCTTAACAGCTTATACACCCAAGCCATAAGCCTGCTGAACAATTAATCAAATTAACTCTATTTCTTGAACTGCATTGTTGGTTAAGGGCTTGTAAGTAAGCATTTCACAGTAAGGTCTACCTGTTGTATTCGGCGCATGTGACAAATACAATTTGACTTGATTTGATTTGAAGCAATAGTACACCCATCTTCAGTACATTTGACAGTTTCATAACTGAAAATGTACAATTATTTGTGTAAAACTAACAGTGAAATACGACTCAGAGTCATGCTCTGGCTTCAAAACAGACGTCAAAACTCCCACGGTATAGTAGCTCAATGTATGGCAGCTGCGTGGTAATAACACAACGGTCAATCAAAACAGTCTAACCTATAGCAGAGAGCTTTTGACACACCAACTCCTTTCCACACACCCACTACTTTCCTTTCGACACACCCACTTGGCCATTCTCCAGTCACCATATTGGATTGCAGCTACCCCTTCTCGCAAAAAGGCCTGTCTCTGAAAAGTTCTGTCTACCTTTGTAGCTGTATCTACAGTTAGGCTAGGGTTAGGATTAGGCTAGGGTTACGGCTAGGACTAGGGTTAGGGTTAGGGCTGAGGTTAGGGCTAGGGTTAGACTTAGGTTAGGGGTTAAGGGTTAGGGCTGGTGGATAGTTAGTTTGAACATGTATAATCCATCTGTAGGGTGAAGCCTTGTGGTCATCTATGAACCCCACCAACCCCAAACACCTATATGAACCCCACCAAACCCAAACACCTATATCAGTTGTTCCCAAACTTTTTTGGCCTGTGACCCCATTTTTATATTCAACATTTTTTTAGACCCAACCATGTCGACGATTATAGTCACTAACGTAGGGCTTTGTGCTTTGTGTTTCAGGTTTGGTCTCTGTTTTGGTTTTTCAGTTCTCAGACTATGGAGGTCCGTACTGGCGTTACCATTACCTTGAGTGCTCCAATGTTACAACGGTTGTGGGACACACAGCATGGTTCAAGCAAGTCAACGGATCAGAGCCTGTGTGTATCTCGTCTATGTACGGCTTTAATTCAACACCTGATCTCCACTATGGTTTTCAAAGGAGCCATTTTGAAATGTTCAGCAACAACACCACTGGCTTTCTCACAATTACAAAAGTGGAAATAGCTGACTGTGGCCTGTATTTCTGTGGATTGTATCCACATAGCCACATGTTCTTTGTCAACGCAAAAGTTTTAAAATATCAAGGTTAGTTTTCAACTTTTTATCTGGCTTTTGTTACATTTTCAACTTTTTATCAATCTAATCAGGAGTTATCATAAAACAAAGGCAAACCATTGATGGACATATTTTTTTATAATTTGGAGAAGAAATACGTATTTATTCTTACTAATCTCGATTTTATAGACCACAATGAGGTGAGGAAATACCAGAGTCATCTAAAGAGAGTGAGTTTATTTTTCTTTGTCATGTAGGGGAAAATAAATAAGCAAGAAACAAAAACACAAAATGTTTGTCTTTAAAGGGCCACCAAATGATGTAATAACATGTCATCTAATAGGACATTGTAATGGAACTATCAGTCTAGTAGGAGAGGAAGTTGATGGAACCATGTACCTCCTCCCCCTGGTTGTGATCCTGGGTGTTGTGACTGCTGTTCTACTGATAGTCATCCTCATCCTGGTCCTCAAGATCAGACGAGAGGCAAAAGCACACAACACAGGTAGGAGCCCATTTCATGATAATATGGGACCTGTGAACTACACTTCAAATGTGGATGTTTTTCCCGTGACATACTGTACAATGATGACCAGAAGAGTCAGTGTGTACGCTAGAATGGAATGATCCGTTAATCTGTTCTCTCATCTCTCTTTTATATCATATTCAGGACCTGATTCTCAAAGACAACCACAAAATGATCAGGTAAATACTGTGTCATTAAATATCTACAGAATCAAGATCCAGATGCATTGAATTAAGCCACCCTGAATTTAACCTCCAAGAAGAGGAAGATGGAGAGGAGAAGAGAGAAGGAGCTGGACCCCCATGTAGTGTATGCTGCTACAAGATGACAAAGTGGAGGAGGATGGAAGAGGAGGAAAATTGGTTGGCCATATCTTTGAATACACGTTTAAATCTTGCTATATTGTATATGTGTAGTTATATTAAATGTATTGAAATGTAAGTCAATCGATCTCTGCAGTGTATGTTTGTTAGTTGTACCTCAGGGCTACTTTAGCTCTCTCTAACTCAGTTAGGCCACACAGCTCAGTGGTACAGGGTGTGGTTAGAGAGGAGGAGTTAGAAGTCAAAACACAACTGTTTAATGGCTTCAGAGGAGTAGTTGCCTCTTTTGGCCTCTCTTAACTTAGATCTCTGTTGTGTGTGTTAGTGATTTGGTTATTTTTTTACAGGGTGGCCCTGAGGGGCAAAGGACCCAGCAGTAGACAATTACATTATACTGATCACTTCTAAAGACAAATAAAGAGTTAAACCAAAATTGCCTTTGTTATGATGTTATCTCTCCTTAGCATTTCCTGTCTTGGCTTTGCACTGATCACAGCCCCCTATTCCGAGAATCACCTTATAAGGAGAATATGTTTGGGGTCTGAGGTAGAGGAGGGGCCAGTGAGGGCATGCATCACTTCCTGTGGTGTGAGTGACAGGAAGGAGAAGCTCAGTGTAGAGGGAGACCTGCTGAGGTGAACATCACTGGGTCTCTCATAGACTAACACTGGGGGATGAAATGTCCCTTATGCTCTCTCTCTCTCTCTCTCTCTCTCTCTCTCTCTCTCTCTCTCTCTCTCTCTCTCTCTCTCTCTCTCTCTCTCTCTCTCTCTCTCTCTCTCTCTCTCTCTCTCTCTCTCTCTCTCTCTCTCTCTCTCTCTCTCTCTCTCTCTCTCTCTCTCTCTCAGTATGTCAGTATTTCCAGTCCACCTGTCAACAGGTTGGTAATGCATTTAATCGTTGATCGGGGTGGTAGTGCACACGCTCTTCTCACACCTCTTTTCATCTGTTCATCTGGACGGTGAACACCAGACCGCTGCCGCTCAGTTAGATGTGCAAAGTATGTCAAGAATACAAACAAGCTAAAAGCATTTTCCAAACCCTAAACTGTGCAGTGTTTCTTAAACTATGGGTCCTGAGTTATCAGAATACATCTATTATCACTAACTATTTCTTCTTACTTCGGGTCGTTGGAGGTCGATTTTGGTCACGGGAGGACAGTCAATTTCTCATTTGGGTCTCGAGTTGAAAACGTTTAAGAACCCTAAAGCACTCAGGAAGATGTGCTTTAGGGTTAAGATGTAGTGTCATCTCAATAGTTTTGTCAACTCTTCCTTCATGAAAAAAAATAAGGTATATGCAGTGGTGTATTCAGTTTGCCAATAGGCACCTAAAGGACTCTCAGACCATGAGAAACACGATTCTTGAAACCAAGATTGAACTCTTTGGCCTGAATGCCAAGCGACAAATCTGGAGGAATCCTTGCACATTTACATTTACATTTACGTCATTTAGCAGACGCTCTTATCCAGAGCGACTTACAAATTGGTGCATTCACCTTATAGCCAGTGGGTTAACCACTTTACAAGTTTCTCAATACTTTGTTATATACCCTTTGTTGGCAATGACACAGGTCAAACGTTTTCTGTAAGTCTTCACAAGGTTTTCACACACTGTTGCAGGTATTTTGGCCCATTCCTCCATGCAGATCTCCTCTAGAGCAGTGATGTTTTGGGGCTGTCGCTGGGCAACACAGACTTTCAACTCCCTCCAAAGATTTTCTATGGGGTTGAGATCTGGAGACTGGCTAGGCCACTCCAGGACCTTGAAATGCTTCTTACGAAGCCACTCCTTCGTTGCCCGGGCGGTGTGTTTGGGATCATTGTCATGCTGAAAGACCCAGCCACGTTTCATCTTCAATGCCCTTGCTGATGGAAGGAGATTTTCACTCAAAATCTCACGATACATGGCCCCATTCATTCTTTCCTTTACACGGATCAGTCGTCCTGGTCCCTTTGCAGAAAAACAGCCCCAAAGCATGATGTTTCCACCCCCATGCTTCACAGTAGGTATGGTGTTCTTTGGATGCAACTCAGCATTCTTTGTCCTCCAAACACGACGAGTTGAGTTTTTACCAAAAAGTTCTATTTTGGTTTCATCTGACCATATGACATTCTCCCAATCCTCTTCTGGATCATCCAAATGCACTCTAGCAAACTTCAGACGGGCCTGGACATGTACTGGCTTAAGCAGGGGGACACGTCTGGCACTGCAGGATTTGAGTCCCTGGCGGCGTAGTGTGTTACTGATGGTAGGCTTTGTTACTTTGGTCCCAGCTCTCTGCAGGTCATTCACTAGGTCCCCCCGTGTGGTTCTGGGATTTTTGCTCACCGTTCTTGTGATCATTTTGACCCCACGGGGTGAGATCTTGCGTGGAGCCCCAGTACGAGGGAGATTATCAGTGGTCTTCTATGTCTTCCATTTCCTAATAATTGCTCACACAGTTGATTTCTTCAAACCAAGCTGGTTACCTATTGCAGATTCAGTCTTCCCAGCCTGGTGCAGGTCTACAATTTTGTTTCTGGTGTCCTTTGACAGCTCTTTGGTCTTGGCCATAGTGGAGTTTGGAGTGTGACTGTTTGAGGTTGTGGACAGGTGTCTTTTATACTGATAACAAGTTCAAACAGGTGCCATTAATACAGGTAACGAGTGGAGGACAGAGGAGCCTCTTAAAGAAGAAGTTACAGGTCTGTGAGAGCCAGAAATCTTGCTTGTTTGTTGGTGACCAAATACTTATTTTCCACCATAATTTGCAAATAAATTCATTAAAAATCCTACAATGTGATTTTCTTGATTTTTTTTCCTCAATTTGTCTGTCATAGTTGACGTGTACCTATGATGAAAATTACAGGCCTCTCTCATCTTTTTAAGTGGGAGAACTTGCACAATTGGTGGCTGACTAAATACTTTTTTCCCCCACTGTATCTTTGTATCTGAGAGAAGAAAGTATGACTCTCAGATCAGGTAGAGTCTTGTTGGTGTCTTAAACATTGTCATAGCTTTATCCCTCAGTGTCTCAGTGTCTCTATCCCTATTTGATATTTCACAGATGGTTTTAAGGAGGACCATCTTCTGTTCATGTACTGCCTGGGCGTAGCGTTGGGTCTGTGTGTCATTGTCACGCCCTGACCTATAGAACTCTTGTTTGTTGAGTCAGGGTGTGGAATTCTATGTTAGACATTCTATGTTTAGGTTCTAGTTTTTCTATTTCTATGTCTGGCCGGGTATGATTCCCAATCAGAGGCAGCTGTCGCTCATTGTCTCTGATTGGGGATCATACTTAGGTAGCCCATTGCCTGCTGTGTATTGTGGGATCTTGTTCCTGTTAGGCTGGTATGTGTATAGCCCTTTGGACGTCACGTCACGTCACGTCACGTCACGTCACGTCACGTCACGTCACGTCACGTTGTTTATTGTTTTGTTGAATGTTTATTTAGTTAATAAACATGTACGCTCTTCACACTGCACCTTGGTCTGACCCATCTCTCAACGTTCGTGACAGTCATCCTCATCATTGTCTATACTTGTGTTTTGTACAAGATGAGCAAGTGCATAGGTAAGCAATATTATTGTGCAAGATACAGTATGCTTATCAATTGTTGGTACAGTTACATTATTTTACATGTTTTGGCCAAAATTGGTCATAAAAGCTCGTCATCGGCACTGTGTAGCTCAGTTGGTAGAGCATGGCTTTTGCAACGCCAGGGTTGTGGGTTCGATTCCCACGGGGGGCCAGTATGAAAATGTATGCACTCACTAACTGTAAGTTGCTCTGGATAAGAGCGTCTGCTAAATGACTAAAATGTAAATGTTGATTGTATTGATTCTTGTTTGATTAAAAGGAACGCACACTCAGCTATGTGCTCCTGCAGTCCCCAGTCATTATAACCAGGTAACCTGACCTAACACTTGTTTAGCTGTTGCTGAATCAATGGGTTTTTCCTTCAATCAAAATACGAAAATATGCATTTTATTAGAAGGGTTGTTTCACTATACCACAATACTTAGTCTAATACCAAATATTTGGATAATCATTTTTTGCTATTCTTCTCAGGATCAAGAGCCTGATACTCTCCATTACGCCGCTCTGAACGTCGTCCACCAGAAACTGAAGGCCGGGAGACAGGGGAACGCCATGGAGAGAGACACTGTGTACTCTGGGGTGAGACGCCAAAGCATGGACTGAAATGTCAACTTTTCCTCTTTAATAACTTGCATTGATTCTGTGTTCTCTACACTGTATGTATGACTGTGGCTTTTACATTGTAAGTTACAATGTCTTTTTACATTGATACTGTTCAATTTTGATCAAATAAAACATTAAACTGCTTTCATATAGAGGATTTTCATTCACATTTTTCTCTTTCCTTACATTTCTACAACACTTTCACCCACAGATTAAGTGGGCAACAACCATATCAAGCCTATGCTCAATGTAAAGAAGATGGTTGGTTGCATAATAACTGTTAATATGTATATATTGCTGGTGTTTTAGCCTCTCAAACTGTCTTCTTTTAGTTGTATCCTGTATCACAGCTCTCTGTGGTGTTCTGACTGCCCTAAATAGATTTTCCACTCACGTAAACTCAACTCTAACCCCCAGCAATGACCGTCAGTCCTCACCACACTCTCTTTTCACACACCATCAAAAACCACAAAAATCTATCACTGAGAACACAACTCTCTCTCTCTCCATAAGAAAAGACTGAACTAAAAATACACTTCTTAGCTGAATATACTTTGAACAGAATTGATATGGTTGAGAGACTGATTTCCAATTTGACATAGTAACTGGGCAGTTTTCAAAAATGATTGACAAAATGTGAATATGTATAAGTGCACCTTGTAGGACTGCAATCAATTTCTTTTTCAACAGGGAGCAGCAGTGTACATGGAAGTCCCCATAACTGCCTCAACAGAGTTGGCAGCAACATGTAGTTGTCAAAGTTCATTAATTTGAAGTATCATAGACAACTTGCCTTTCTGTGATAGTTCATGTGTCTAGCCGAAATAGCAGTCAAACAAATGCCAAAAAAGACAATGTGTGGCTATGAAGAATCTATAACAAGGTAATATAGTTATTAAATGCTTATTACACATCTATAACATGTTAGAAATAATTTCCAGTTGCTTTAAGTAGCAACCACCTAAAAAGCCAGGCAGTCATCATCACTGGATCATTACTACTAACCTCAACATAGTTATAAAGTGTAACTTAGTAACAAGGAGCAACAATCATTCAAAATGAAACAGGTAGTAGAGTGATCTGTATGATGAAGACAATGACTCATGTGTGTAGTTTTGTAATTGAGTTCCAGGGAGTCATTGCATAAGTAAGGCAACAAACATATTTTTCAAGTAATATCTCCTCTAAAATGTCTTGACCTTCTTTTAGACGTGTTGATAGCATGACACTCACATCCACCAACACACAGCTAACAAGTTCACAGGTACTTGCGATCTGCTCGAGGCCATATCTAGGCTTTGGTCAGGCCTGCTGGCTTTGTACACACAGGACCCTCCTACCTGCTCTCTGTGTCTCTGTGGTTTTCAGCAGGATGTCTATCTGGTGTCAGTCTGTTGTTTTCACATTTGTTACTGTTGTTCATGTTCCTACTGACAGCTTGCAGTCACAGCAAACCAGTTCTCGGATGTATATAGTTATCTGAAATCAGTAACAAACCACAAAGAACTGCTAATGAACTATTTGAACTCTCCAAGTTAAGCATCATGTGTAATACAGCACCATTCATTGCATAGCTATGTGCTCAGGGGGAAGGGCCATGTTATGATGATGTCATGACTCATGGGAGAACTAGTACATTCTCAATCAGACAAGTGTTCTAGGAATACTGCAGGGTTCTCTGTAAGGAGACCAATTGAGGAGGATCCTCCTGATAGATTGCCTCCTATGAGAACGGTGTGTCATGTATATTGGTTATATTAGGCTGGGGTGTCCAATCAGTCATGCACTCTCAGGTGTTATATTTCAGTTAGTGCATGTTTCTGTGAATGATAGGGAATGAGACTGACATACAATTGACTTGTTTCATTCTATAGTTGTTTATCTCATATACCCTCCCACAGCTCTACCCCTTTTCACCCGTATACATTTACTTGTTAGTCATTTAGAAGATGCTCTTATCCGGAGCAAGTAGGGTTAAGTGCCTTGCGCAAGGGCACATCCACTGATTTTTCGACTAGTCGGCTCGGGAATTCAAACCAGCAACCTTTCGGTTACTGTCCCAATGCTCTTAACGTCTAGACAAGACAAGACATGTTCTATGTATAACAGCCCGCCTATGGGTCATCTGGAGTACTGTAACTGTTGAAGGACTTGTTCAAAATAATAATAGTTTTCTTTCAAACACCTTAAGTACACTTGGTTTTGCTGGTCTTCTGCAATGGAGGCAAGATAAAGTAAGTGTGAGAAAACAAATAGTCTACCAATGGCAGGTATCTTAGTGGGTAAGAGCGTTGTGCCAGTAACCGAAAGGTTGCTGGTTCTAATCTCAGAGCCGACTAGGTGAAAAATCTGTAGGTGTGCCCTTAAACAAGGCACTTAACCCTAATTGCTCCTGTAAGTCGCTCTGGATAAGAGTGTCTGCTAAATGACGTAAATGTTTCATATTGCATTTTTAAAATGAATGACCTGTGACCTTGTATATCAATTGATTAAATTGCTCTTCTGAAATCCCTGTATATGTTGCTTCTTTTAGCATCAATAAATATCCATTTAACTGTTACTGACTAAAATAGACTTGTTCCTTCTCTTGTGTTCTGTACATAGAGTATGTCTGTATGAATGTGTGCAGAGGGCTTCTGCAGACCCAACCTACTGATAAATGCTAAACCCACCCATGCTTGCACCCACACAGTGAGATGTTCACAGGTACCGGCACACTGTGGTCTGCTGTGAGCACAAAACAAGGCCGTCTCTATGCTTTGGACAGGCCTGCTGGCCTTTTACATACCCTGTGTCTCTATGTGGTTTTCAGCAGGATGTCTATGTGGTGTCACTCTGTTTTCTCTCATTCTTTCATTGTTGTTCACAACCATGACAATTTGCAACACAGTCCACTTATATACTGTATGCCATGTAGCCTGTATCTTGTCACTTACAAGACAATAGGTTTAATTAATTCAAACTACAATCATTTGTTTACAGAGTTTAAAGTAGAACTTGTATCAATGTATGCTAGGCTACAGCCAAGAGGCCTACCCCACGAGGTACACCCCTACTAAACGCTCAACTAGTAGCCTACACTTGAGTTAGTAAATGACTGACAGGGATAAAACTGACTTTCATTCTGTAGGTGTTTCCCCCACATATCCTCACAGTAATGCTCCACCCCTGTTCACCCCACATATAGGTCATCAGGAGTACTGTCTGTAACTGTTGCATGGGGTAGGGATAAATCTATTGAAGGCACACAAGTTTGATACCAAGAGCATACAGTGGCATGTATGTGTAATGTATACTTGAAAATGTACTGCATACTTGCCAGATGACATTAAACTTTCAACCCACTTTAATGAAGGACATTCACATATTCTCTTTACACACTGCCTCAGTATTGGACATCTTTGATTCAGCTGGTGCCTAAATATCAAACTATACAATGTTAACAAAAATTAATTATCATCTAGACACCACAAAGTGTGTATGCTTCACCCACCTTCTACAAAATATCCTATACAGTAAGCATTGGTTCACTTTGCATGGATTATATGAGTGATTTTCAGTTACGAAGACCATGGTGGGCTGAAGAAGGTGTTAACAAAAATGAAGCGTCCAGGAGCCAAATAGTTGAAGTGTTGTCTACATGGAGGACTGTTTCCACTCAAGACACAGGTTGTGAAGAGGACATCTTCAAAGATGATCACACTGAGTCTGTTACTGGCACTTCTTGTAGAGATGGGTATGTCCAACTTCTATATTTCTCTGCTTAAGGGATGTACTCTAAGTTACTATATTGATGCAATTCATAGATTTATATTTTTTGTATATCAAGGACCTGTGTAAGTAATGGATGATGTCTCTGTCTGTATTCTAGCTGCTGCACAATCCTCTGAAATTCATCTTGTTACAGCCAATGTTGGAGAGACAGTGACTTTGCACTGCTTCTATAAAGGCAACCTGGCACGGTACTTTATGTGGTACAAGCAAACAATGGGTGACAATCCCCAAATCTTATCAGTATTTTACAAGTATAACAAGAATGCAACATTTTACCATGAATTTAAGGGTAACACTCGCTTCTCAGTGCAAAGCGGTGAAGGAATGAATCACCTAAAGATCTCAGACATGCAGCTCTCTGATTCAGCCACATATTACTGTGGGAACTCTTATGCCAACCAGGTGGAGTTTGAAGAAGGAGCCATTCTGATTGTGAAAGGTACAACATCTGAATTTAGAATGAAAGGAAATAGTAACTAATGTTCTGCAACTATAATGTTGAGGGCTTTTTCCACATTACGTTTTGGATACAATGGCTTAATTATGCTGTATTTGCATAATCAGAAATGAGAATGATTTCAAAAATGTTAAGTTGGGACACAACATACGGAACAGATTTACTGACTTATAAACCTTCTTGTCAGGATCAGGGTCCAGAAACATGTCTGTGCTCCAGCAGCCTGTGTCTGAGTCAGTCCAGCCAGGAGACTCTGTGACTCTGAACTGTACAATACACACTGAGACCTGTGCAGGAGAACACAGTGTCTATTGGTTCAGACACGGCTCAGGAGAATCCCGTCCAGGAATCATTTACATCAATGGAGACAGGCATGATCAGTGTGAGAAGAGCTCTGATGCTGGGTCTCTTATGGCAAGAAGGTGGAGTTTGGAGAAGGAGCCAATATAAACTCTCGTTTGCAACTGTTGGACTAATTATTACACCCTTGATCAGCTAGATGCAGGCAAGAGTGTGCAAGGCGGTATTGAATGTGTCACTGTCTGGCACCTTGATTACTCAAAGTTCTCTTGACCTGTGCACCTACGTTGCAAACTTTCATTCATAGGCTAGGTTGTAGCAACCTCATGATGGGTACAGGGAACATTTTAGTATCATGTATTAACCTAAACCTATCAGTGTTACATTGAGCTGGGTGAATGGAATATGAATGACAGTCATCCAATAGAAATAAGGCCATGTTCATTAAAAAACAGCCCCGACTGCCACTGGTGTATACTAGTCGTTCTGTCTGTCAGACCAGGCACTAAATCAGACTGGGGGAAAAATAACATAATCAATGATGATGATCTTTTCTACACAGAATATCGTACACAATTATTGCCCGGTGATCATCTGAAATTCCCAATACCTTTCTGATGCATTTCAGTCACTTCAAACCATACTTCCTTCAGATTAAAAACAGTCAAAAGTACTGTTAGACTGATTTGTAATAGACTGTCATAGCTCCAATTTATAAATGTAAACATTGGTCTTTGATTACATAACTTTTTGTACATGGTTGGGTCGCAAAAGATGTTTGATATCAAAATATGGTCACGGGCAAAAAAGTTTGGGAACCCCTTGGTTAGTATCTCTGACACCCAGACAGATCTGCATGCTATGATCATGAGCTAAAAACAAGTATGGGTAGCTGCAGCCCAATATGGCGACCGGAGTATGGGAGAGTGGGTGTGTCGAAAGGAGTGGGTGTATGGAAAGCGAATCAGCTAATTGGGCAGATTTGTTCCCACTCAAGACCGTTTTGCGTGGCTGATTTGGCTGAATGACTAGACGATAAGCCGGTGACCAGTGCACCGCTGTTGTATCGACGTGCTTCTTACTGAGGAGCTATATCATGGTCGTGTCGCCAGCGGTAGCTAACGTGGTCATGTTTTACCATCACGTTATTTTATTTCAAGTAGGATAGCAGCATACACAATAACTCATATTGATAACCATCTAGATGTCACCTTGATACATACATACAATCTACTACTCAATGGGGAGACCATGAACAGCAACAACACCGGGACACACTGCCCTTTGCTCCCGTTTGCCAAGCACTAATGTCCGGCAACGGCGTGAGAAGTAGCTACCTACTGTAGTAGCCAATATGAGGGTGACAGTCACAGTAAGCACACACATACAACACATTAAGCAACAGTACACCCATCATCAGTATTTATAATAACAAATAAACAATAGTCAGTTTTATAACTCAAAATGTACAATTATTTGTGTAAAACTAACAGTGAAATACGACTCAGAGTCATGCTCTGGCTTCAAAACAGACGTCCAAAATCTCATGGTATGGAGCTCAATGTATCGTAGTTGCGTGGTAAGAAACTGAAGAAGAAAACACACCGCTCAATCAAAACAGTCTAACCTATAGCAGAGAGATTTCGACACACCAACTCCTTTCCACACACCCACTACTTTCCTTTCGACACACCCACTCGGCCATTTTCCAGATACCATATTGGACTGCAGCTACCCCCCTTCTCGCAAAAAAAAATACTTGTCTACCTTTGAAGCTGTATCTAGTCAGGCTAGTTAGGGTTACGCTAGGGTTACTGTTAGGGATAGGGTTAGAGTTAGGCTAGGGCTGGGGTTAAGGGTTAGGGCTGGGGTTGGGGTTAAGGGTTAGGATTAAGGCTAGTGGACAGTTATTTTGAACATGTATAATCCATCTGTAGGGGACTATACAAATAAAGCCTTACCAGCACTAACCCTGATAGGGTGAAGCCTTGTGGTCACCTATGAACCCCACCTAACCCAAACACCTATATGAACCCACCAAACCCAAACACCTATATCAGTTGTTCCCAAAATTATTTGGCCTGCGACCCAATTTTGATATCCAACATTTTTCGAGACCCCACCATATAAAAAGAGTGACATAATCAATGGCCAATGTTTACTTTCTAATTGGTCTAGTACAAATCAGTCTAACAGTACTTTTGACAGTATTTAACTCTGAAGGAAGTATGGTTTGAAGTGACTGAAATGCACCAGAAAGGTATTGGGAAGTTCAGAAGATCACCAGGCAATAAAGTTGTATGATCTTCTGTGTAGAAAATAATATCATAATTGATTACAGTATGTGTTTTTCCTTCCCAATAGTATTTAGTGCCTGGTCTTGTCCACGCTGTTCTAATGAGTCCTGAGTGCTTGTGGGCAGTGTAGAGGGAAACAGAAGACACATAAGTGTTCCTAAGAGTGTTATCTTTCAGGGATGGGGTCAGAATATGCTGTAACTTAAACCGTTCAAAAGATAGAGACGCATTTGTAGGAAGAAAACAGAAACAGCTCTGTTTATTACAACCGCAACTCGCGGCTACCGGAGGTTACTGACGTAACCCCGGTTCTATGAACCAAGAGCGATTTTGTACATTTTATTTCAGATTTATTCTTGTGACACCATTTTTAAATCAGGGGACAGACACTACATGGGGTCGCAACCTTTAGTTTGAGAAACGCTGACCTATATTTACCCAACCGAACTCAAACACCTATCGCAATTTTGATTGAACACAAATATGCTAAATTTCTGTTTTTAAACTCCATATAAAACGTCTGTGTCAATTTTGCTTTCTGTAAATAGACATTGCTGTCCAATACCAACTACCACGCCCACTACCAATCAAATCCTCTTTGATCTCACTGTGATCTCAGAGTGAATAAAGAGGTCTGCTCTGATTCACAACCAGACAGAGCAGAAAAGATCTACACACAGAATGTCCAGAACCTTCCTACCAGCTCTACTGCTCTATGGATTGAGTAAGTAAGCCACTGTTAAATCTAGATTGACTGCATCCGTCAAGTATAACAAGAACGTTCAGTGCAGCACTTTTTCCTGATTTCTAACATGTACATGTGATATCAATGACGATAGTTATTAACTTAGGACTTTGTTCTCTGTGTTTCAGGTTTGGTCTCTATTTTGGTTTCTCAGTCTCAGACTGTGGAGGTCCGTACTGGGGATACCATCACTTTGCAGTGCTCCAATGTTACAACGGTTGTGGGACACACAGCATGGTTCAAGCAAGTCAACGGATCAGAGCCTGTGTGTATCTCGTCTATGTACGGCTTTAATTCAACACCTGATCTCCACAATGGTTTTCAAAGGAGCCATTTGGAAATGTTCAGCAACAACACCAGTATCTTTCTCAAAATCACAAAAGTGGAAATAGCTGACTGTGGCCTGTATTTCTGTGGATTGCATCCACATAGCCACATGTTGTTTGTCAACGCAACAGTTCTAAAAATTCAAGGTACGTTATCAACTATTTATCTGGCTTTTGATACATTTGAAAATGTTTATCAACCTAATCAGGAGTTATCATGAAAGAAAGGCAAACCATTGATGGACATATTTATTATCATTCTAATTTTGAGAAAAAATACTTATCTATTCTTACTAATCTCAATGTTATAGGGCACAACGGAGGTGAGGAAATACAGGAGTCATCTATAGAGCGTGAGTTTCTTTTTTCATTGTCATGTAGATTATTATTTTTTTAATTAAGAAACAAAAACGCATAATGTTGAGGTCTGTCAATAAAGGGCCACCAAATGATTTAATAAAATGTAATCTAATAGGACATTGTAATGGAACTATCATTCTAGTAGGAGAGGATGATGATGGAACCATGTACCTCCTCCCCCTGGTTGTGATCCTGGGTGTTGTGACTGCTGTTCTACTGATAGTCGTCCTCATCCTGGTCCTCAAGATCATACGAGAGGCAAAAACACACAACACAGGTAGGAGCCCATTTCATGATAATATGGATCTTGTGAACTACACTTCAAATGTGGATGTTTTTCCCATTACATACTGTACACTGATGATCAGAAGAGTCAGTGTGTACACTAGAATGGAATGATCCATTAATCTGTTCTCTCATCTCTCTTTTATATCATATTCAGGACCTGATTCTCAAAGACAACCACAAAATGATCAGGTAAATACTGCATGGTTAAATACTTAATTATAAGCAATTCAGAAACGCTGAAAATTACAACTGTAGTCTATGTCATGATGTTTGCAAATCTACAGAATCAAGATCCAGATGCATTGAATTATTCCGCCCTGAATTTCACCTCCAAGAAGAGGAAGATGGAGAGGAGAAGAGAGAAGGAGCTGGACCCCCATGTAGTGTATGCTGCTACAAGATGACAAAGAGGAGGAGGATGGAAGATGAGGAAGATTGGTTTGCCATATCTTTGAATACACGTTTAAATATTTCTAAATTGAATGTGTAGTTAAATAAAATGTTTTGATATCTCTGTAGCCCTCTCCAACTCAGTTAGGCCACACAGCTCAATGGTACAGGGTGAGGTTAGAGAGGAGGATTTAGAAGTCAAAACACAACTGTTTAATGGCTGCAGAGGAGTATTTGCCTCTTTTGGCCTCTCTTAACTTAGATCTCTGTTGTGTGTTTTAGTGATTTTTTTATAGGGTGACCCTGAGGGGCAAAGGACCCAGCAGTAGACAATTGTATTGATAACTTATAAAGACAAATAAAGAGTTAAAAACAAAATTGCCTTTGTCATGATTGTGTTTGTCAATTAGTATTTCCTGTCTTTGCACTGATCATAGCCCCCTATTCTGAAAATCACCTTATAAGGTGAATATGTTTGGGGTCTGAGGTAGAGGAGGGGCCAGTGAGGGTATGCATCACTTCCTGTGGTGTGAGTGACAGGAAGGTGCAGCTCAGTGTAGAGTGAGACCTGCTGAGGTGAACATCACTGGGTCTCTCATAGACGAACACTGGGGGATGAAATGTCCCTTATGCTCTCTCTCTCTCTCTCTCTCGCCCGATTTTCAGTCCACCTGCCGTCAGATAGAATTGGCAAAATATTTGTGTGTAAGAGTAAATGCCTGGGTGATTTGAGGGCGTGGGGGGTGGGGTGGGGGGGCTCTTTACACACGTCTCTTCATTTGTTCATCTGGACGGTAAACACCAGACCCCTGCCACTCAGTTAGATGTGCAAAGTATGTCAAGAATACAAACAAGCTAAAAGCATTTTCCAAACCCTGAACTGTGCAGGGTTTCTTAAACTATGTGTCCTGAGTTATGAGAATACATCTGTAATCACAAACTATTTATTCTTACTTCGGGTCATTGGAGGTCGATTTGGGTCACGGGAGGACAGTCAATTTCTCATTTGGATCTCGAGTTGAAAACATTTAAGAACTCAAAGCATTCAGGAAGAGGAAAAAGTGCAGATAACGATGGTGTCATCTCAATCGTTTTTTTTCAACTTCCTTCAACAAAAAGAAGGTATTGGAAACAAATAAAGGTTTGAAATTAGGCCAACAAAAACATCTATTATTCAATGCTATTGCGGTTACAACTAATATTAGTGTTTAATGATGGAGGCTTGTGATGAAAGCCAAGAGCCAGAAATGCAGCTTTTATGCAGTGGTGTATACATTTACATTATGGATGTCACGTTGTGTAATGATTAGAAGACAGGCGCAGGAATACGTATTAGGGGTGTTTATTACTCCACCCAACACAAATATATATATACAGTGGGGAGAACAAGTATTTGATACACTGCCGATTTTGCAGGTTTTCCTACTTACAAAGCATGTCGAGGTCTGTCATTTTGATCATAGGTACACTTCAACTGTGAGAGACGGAATCTAAAACAAAAATCCAGAAAATCACATTGTATGATTTTTAAGTAATTCATTTCCATTTTATTGCATGACATAAGTATTTGATATATCAGAAAAGCATAACTTAATATTTGGTACAGAAACCTTTGTTTGCAATTACAGAGATCATACGTTTCCTGTAGGTCTTGACCAGGTTTGCACACACTGCAGCAGGGAATTTGGCCCACTCCTCCATACAGACCTTCTCCAGATCCTTCAGGTTTCGGGGCTGTCGCTGGGCAATACGGACTTTCAGCTTCCTCCAAAGATTTTCTATTGGGTTCAGGTCTGGAGATTGGCTAGGCCACTCCAGGACCTTGAGATGCTTCTTACGGAGCCACTCCTTTGTTGCCCTGGCTGTGTGTTTCGGGTCGTTGTCATGCTGGAAGACCCAGCCACGACCCATCTTCAATGCTCTTACTGAGGGAAGGAGGTTGTTGGCCAAGATCTCGCAATACATGGCCCCATCCATCCTCCCCTCAATATGGTGCAGTCGTCCTGTCCCCTTTGCAGAACAGCATCCCCAAAGAATGATGTTTCCACCTCCAAGCTTCATGGTTGGGATGGTGTTCTTGGGGTTGTACTCATCCTTCTTCTTCCTCCAAACACGGCGAGTGGAGTTTAGACCAAAAAGCTCCAGATGGTCATTGGCAAACTTCAGACGGGCCTGGACATGCGTTGGCTTGAGCAGGGGGACCTTGCGTGCGCTGCAGGATTTTAATCCATGACGGCATAGTGTGTTACTAATGGTTTTCTTTGAGACTGTGGTCCCAGGTCTCTTCAGGTCATTGACCAGGTCCTGCCGTGTAGTTCTGGGCTGATCCCTCACCTTCCTCATGATCATTGATGCCCCACGTGGTGAGATCTTGCATGGAGCCCCAGACCGAGGGTGACTGACCGTCATCTTGAACTTCTTCCATTTTCTAATAATTGCGCCAAAAGTTGTTGCCTTCTCACCAAGCTGCTTGCCTATTGTCCTGTAGCCCATCCCAGTCTTGTGCAGGTCTACAATTTTATCCCTGATGTCCTTACACAGCTCTCTGGTCTTGGCCTTTGTGGAGAGGTTGGAGTCTGTTTGATTGAGTGTGTGGACAGGTGTCTTTTATACAGGTAACGAGTTCAAACAGGTGCAGTTAATACAGGTAATGAGTGGAGAACAGGAGGGCTTCTTAAAGAAAAACTAACAGGTCTGTGAGAGCCGGAATTCTTACTGGTTGGTAGGTGATCAAATTTTTAAGTCATGCAATAAAATGCAAATGAATTACGTAAAAATCATACAATTTGATTTTCTGTATTTTTGTTTTAGATTCCGTCTCTCACAGTTAAAGTGTACCTATGATAAAAATGACAGACCTCTACATGCTTTGTAAGTAGGAAAACCTGCAAAATCGGCAGTGTATCAAATACTTGTTCTCCCCACTATATATATATATACACTGCTCAAAAAAATTAAGGGAACACTTAAACAACACAATGTAACTCCAAGTCAATCACACTTCTGTGAAATCAAACTGTCCACTTAGGAAGCAACACTGATTGACAATACATTTCACATGCTGTTGTGCAAATGGAATAGACAACAGGTGGAAATTATAGGCAATTAGCAAGACACCCCCAATAAAGGTTTTGCAGGTGGTGACCACAGACCACTTCTCAGTTCCTATGCTTCCTGGCTGATGTTTTGGTCACTTTTGAATGCTGGCGGTGCTTTCACTCTAGTGGTAGCATGAGACGGAGTCTACAACCCACACAAGTGGCTCAGGTAGTGCAGCTCATCCAGGATGGCACATCAATGCGAGCTGTGGCAAGAAGGTTTGCTGTGTCTGTCAGCGTAGTGTCCAGAGCATGGAGGCGCTACCAGGAGACAGGCCAGTACATCAGGAGACGTGGAGAAGGCCGTAGGTGGGCAACAACCCAGCAGCAGGACTGCTACCTCCGCCGTTGTGCAAGGAGGAGCAGGAGGAGCACTGCCAGAGCCCTGCAAAATGACCTCCAGCAGGCCACAAATGTGCATGTGTCTGCTCAAACGGTCAGAAACAGACTCCATGAGGGTGGTATGAGGGCCCGATGTCCACAGGTGGGTGTTGAGCTTACAGCCCAACACCGTGCAGGACGTTTGGCATTTGCCAGAGAACACCAAGATTGGCAAATTCGCCACTGGCGCCCTGTGCTCTTCACAGATGATAGCAAATTCACACTGAGCACGTGACAGACGTGACAGAGTCTGGAGACGCCGTGGAGAACGTTCTGCTGCCTGCAACATCCTCCAGCATGACCGGTTTGGCGGTGGGTCAGTCATGGTGTGGGGTGGCATTTCTTTGGGGGGCCGCACAGCCCTCCATGTGCTCGCCAGAGGTAGCCTGACTGCCATAAGGTACCGAGATGAGATCCTCAGACCCCTTGTGAGACCATATGCTGGTGTGGTTGGCCCTGGGTTCCTCCTAATGCAAGACAATGCTAGACCTCATGTGGCTGGAGTGTGTCAGCAGTTCCTGCAAGAGGAAGGCATTGATGCTATGGACTGGCCCGCCCGTTCCCCAGACCTGAATCCAATTGAGCACATCTGGGACATCATGTCTCGCTCCATCCACCAACGCCACGTTGCACCACAGACTGTCCAGGAGTTGGCGGATGCTTTAGTCCAGGTCTGGGAGGAGATCCCTCAGGAGACCATCCGCCACCTCATCAGGAGCATGCCCAGGCATTGTAGGGAGGTCATACAGGCACGTGGAGGCCACACACACTACTGAGCCATTTTGACTTGTTTTAAGGACATTACATCAAAGTTGGATCAGCCTGTAGTGTGGTTTTCCACTTTAATTTTGAGGGGGACTCCAAATCCAGACCTCCATTGGGTTGATAAAATTTTGATGTCCATTGATAATTTTGGTGTGATGTTGTGGGGATTTTGTTTTTTCGGTTGGGTTCATTTCTAGGTTTGGTCTATGACTCCCAATCGGAGGTAACGAGTGTCAGCTGTCGGCTCGTTATCTCTGATTGGGAGCCATATTTAATCTGTATGTTTTCCTGTGGGAGTTGTGGGTTTTTGTTTCGTTTCGGTCAGTGTACCGTGGACTTCATTGAGTCGTCTTTTGTTTTGTAGTTCGATAACGTTTAATTAATAAAGTCATGTTTCTTGGACACGCTGCGCCTTGGTCATACTTAGACGACATAGACGACCGTGACAGAAAAACCCACCATAATAGGACCAAGCAGCGTGTCAAGCAGCAACAGGACCCAGCTCCAAAGGATTCATGGACATGGGGGGAGATACTGGCTGGAAAGGGTCCTTGGGCACAACCGGGAGAATATCGCCGCCCTCGTGAAGAGCTGGAGGCAGCTAAAGCCGAGAGGAGGCGGTATGAGGAGGCAGCACGGAGTCAAGGCTGGAAGCCCGTGGGTACTACCCAAAAATTTCTTGGGGGGGGGCTTAAAGGGAGTGTGGCGATGTCAGGTAGGAGACCTGCGCCTACTCCCTGGACTTACCGTGGAGAGCGAGAGTACGGGCAGACACCGTGTTACGCAGTAGAGCGCATGGTGTCTCCTGTACGCAGGCATAGCCCGGTTCGGTACATTCCAGCTCCACGTATCGGCCGGGTTAGAGTGAGCGTTGAGCCAGATGTCATGAAGCCGGCCCAACGCATCCGGCTACCAGTGCGTCTTCTCGGGCCGGCGTACATGGCACCAGCCTTACGCATGGTGTTCCCGGTTCGCCCACATAGGCCGGTGCGGGTTATTCCACCTCCCCGTACTGGTCGGGCGACGGGGGAGCATCAACCCGGGTAAGGTTGGGCAGGCTCAGTGCTCAAGGGGCCAGTAAGCCTGCACGTTCCGGTATTTCCGGCGCCACCTCCCCGCTCCAGCCCAGTACCACCAGTGCCTACACCACGCACCAAGCCTCCTGTGTGTTCCCCGAGTCCTGTGCGTCCTGTTGCTGCTCTCCGCACTAGGCCTTATGTGCGTCCCCAGGGTCCAGCATGCCCTGTTCCTTCTCCCCGCACTAGGCTTTATGTGCGTTCCCAGGGTCCAGCATGCCCTGTTGCTTCTCCCCGCACTAGCCCTGAGAGGCGTGTCCTCAGCCCGGTACCTCCAGTTCCGGCACCACGCACCAGGCCTACGGTGCGCCTCAGACGGCCAGAGTCTGCCGTCTGCCCAACGGGGCCTGAACTGCCCGTCTGCCCAAAGGCGCTTGAACTGGCCGTCTGGACTGAGCCTGCAAAGCCGCCCGTCTGCCATGAGCCTTCAGAGCCGTCCGCCAGACCGGAGCCGCTAGAGCCTTCCGCCAGACAGGATCAGCCAGAGCCTTCCGCCAGACAGGATCAGCCAGAGCCTTCCGCCAGCCATGAGCAGCCAGATCCGTCAGCCGGCCATGAGCAGCCAGATCCGTCAGCCAGCCATGAGCAGCCAGATCCTTCAGCCAGCCATGAGCAGCCAGATCCGTCGGCCAGCCATGAGCAGCCAGATCCGTCGGCCAGCCATGAGCAGCCAGATCCGTCAGCCAGCCATGAGCAGCCAGATCCGTCAGCCAGCCATGAGCAGCCAGATCCTTCAGCCAGCCATGAGCCGTCCAGCCAGGATCCGCCAGAGCCGTCCAGCCAGGATCCGCCAGAGCCAGCCAGCCAGGATCCGCCATTGAGTCCGGTGCTGTCCCTTAGTCCGGTGCTGCCCCTTAGTCCGGTGCTGCCCTTTAGTCCGGTGCCGCCCCTTAATCCAGTGGGGTTTAGTTGGGGGGTGGTCATGTGGAGGAGGCTACGGAAGCGGATAGTGACTAAGGTGGGGTGGGGACCACGACCAGGGCCAGAACCGCCACCGTGGACAGACGCCCACCCAGACCCTCCCCTAGACTGTATGCTGGTGCGCCCGGAGTTCGCACCTTTAGGGGGGGGTACTGTGACACTCTGGCTCCGGGACTTTTGTATTTGAGCCAGGGTGTATTTGTTTTGTTGGGTTTTGGTTTGGTTATGTTGGGTATTTGGGTGTATTTCTATGTTTGCATTTCGGTTGGGTTCATTTCTAGGTTTGGTCTATGACTCCCAATCGGAGGTAACGAGTGTCAGCTGTCGGCTCGTTATCTCTGATTGGGAGCCATATTTAATCTGTATGTTTTCCTGTGGGAGTTGTGGGTTTTTGTTCCGTTTCGGTCAGTGTACCGTGGACTTCATTGAGTCGTCTTTTGTTTTGTAGTTCGATAACGTTTAATTAATAAAGTCATGTTTCTTGGACACGCTGCGCCTTGGTCATACTTAGACGACATAGACGACCGTGACATCCAGACCTCCATGGGTTGATACATTTGATTTCCATTGATAATTTTTGTGTGATTTTGTTGTCAGCACATTCAACTATGTAAAGAAAAAAGTATTTCATAAGATTATTTCATTCATTCAGATCTAGGATGTGTTATTTTAGTGTTCAACTTGCACAATTGGTGGTGACTAAATACTTTTTTTCCCCACTGTATATATACAGTGAGGGAAAAAAGTATTTGATCCCCTGCTGATTTTGTACGTTTGCCCACTGACAAAGAAATGATCAGTCTATAATTTTAATGGTAGGTTTATTTAAACAGTGAGAGACAGAATAACAACAAAAAAATCCAGAAAAACGCATGTCAAAACTGTTATAAATTGATTTGCATAAGTATTTGACCCCCTCTCAATCAGAAAGATTTCTGGCTCCCAGGTGTCTTTTATATAGGTAACAAGCTGAGATTAGGAGCACACTCTTAAAGGGAGTGCTCCTAATCTCAGTTTGTTACCTGTATAAAAGACACCTCTCCACAGAAGCAATCAATCAATCAGATTCCAAACTCTCCACCATGGCCAAGACCAAAGAGCTCTCCAAGGATGTCAGGGACAAGATTGTAGACCTACACAAGGCTGGAATGGGCTACAAGACCATCGGCAAGCAGCTTGGTGAGAAGGTGACAACAGTTGGTGCGATTATTCGCAAATGGAAGAAACACAAAAGAACTGTCAATCTCCCTCGGCCTGGGGCTCCATGCAAGTGATCACCTCGTGGAGTTGCAATGATCATGAGAACGGTGAGAAATCAGCCCAGAACTACACGGGAGGATCTTGTCAATGATCTCAAGGCAGCTGGGACCATAGTCACCAAGAAAACAATTGGTAACACACTACGCCGTGAAGGACTGAAATCCTGCAGCGCCCGCAAGGTCCCCTTGCTCAAGAAAGCACATATACAGGCCCGTCTGAAGTTTGCCAATGAACATCTGAATGATTCAGAGGAGAACTGGGTGAAAGTGTTGTGGTCAGATGAGACCAAAATCGAGCTCTTTGGCATCAACTCAACTCGCCGTGTTTGGAGGAGGAGGAATGCTGCCTATGTCCCCAAGAACACCATCCCCACCATCAAACATGGAGGTGGAAACATTATGCTCTGGGGGTGTTTTTCTGTTAAGGGGACAGGACAACTTCACCGCATCAAAGGGACGATGGACGGGGCCATGTACCGTCAAATCTTGGGTGAGAACCTCCTTCCCTCAGCCAGGGCATTAAAAATGGGTCGTGGATGGGTATTCCAGCATGACAATGACCCAAAACACACGGCCAAGGCAACAAAGGAGTGGCTCAAGAAGAAGCACATTAAGGTCCTTGAGTGGCCTAGCCAGTCTCCAGACCTTAATCCCATAGAAAATCTGTGGAGGGAGCTGAAGGTTCAAGTTGCCAAACGTCAGGCTCAAAACCTTAATGACTTGGGGAAGATGTGCAAAGAGGAGTGGGACAAAATCCCTCCTGAGATGTGTGCAAACCTGGTGGCCAACTACAAGAAACGTCTGACCTCTGTGATTGCCAACAAGGGTTTTGCCACCAAGTACTAAGTCACGTTTTGCAGAGGGGTCAAATACTTATTTCCCTCATTAAAATGCAAATCAATTTATAACATTTTTGACATGAATTTTTCTGGATTTTGTTGTTGTTATTCTGTCTCTCACTGTTCAAATAAACCTACCATTAAAAGTATAGATTGATCATGTCTTTGTCAGTGGGCAAACGTACAAAATCAGCAGGGGATCAAATACTTTTTTCCCTCACTGTAATTCCCATTTAATCTGTAAATTGCCACAACGATATATTCATGAGAATTAACAAAAAAATATTACATACAAGATAAATCTATACCACCATTAGTTTATTGGTGCAATTTTTTACTGTTTAATGATCTTACTACTAAGAGTTAATTAATACAATATGAATTTACCAATACCTTCTCCACAGTTCCAGAGCATGATTCCCCATTTGATCTGAGTCCTACTGTTCTGTGGTTGATGGTTTCCAACATCATTCTGGGGATAGTGACCCTTCTGCTGGTCTGGGCGCTGTGCAAGACTCAGAACAGAGATAGCAGAGGTAAAACTTTATATCATGTCTAATGTTTAATGTCAATAAAATGTGCATTCTGCAAATATCAATTCAATATCCATATAAACATAGTTAATTAACTACATGAGGTTAAAAAGATAAATGGATTGTCTTCAAATTAATAGCTGGCATTCTTCTATTTCAATCTCTTTGATGGGAGGACAAATGTCCCGAAGTCTGATGGCAAACAGTTAATTTTGTCAATATGTATAAATACAGTATATCTTCAGTTTTTACAAGAAAATGTTTCTTTAAAACTGCTATGTAACTTTCCTTACAGCTAGTAATCTGCTTATATGTGCTATTTATGTTATTAAGGTTTCTTGGAAGTAATAGGTCACTGTACTAGATGAAGCCTTCTGATCTTTGTGATTGTTGTTAATTTTTCCATGGAACTTCTGCCTGTCACTGTTCCACTGACTGTCAGGTCATTGTAGTGGGTGTACAGTCTGAACAGTCCTGTCTTTTGTAGAGTGTTTTCTTCCACAGGAGAATATAAACATTATATAGTAGATCATGCTATCATCATAATGTATTTTCTCATGGCTCCACCCCTTCAGAATCAAGACAGTGACGTGTTGAACTATGCAGCTGTGAGTTTCACCCCCAAGAAGAACTCCTCCTCCTCTACAAGAGCAAGAGAGAAGACCAGCAGAGAGGATGCAGTGTACTCTGAGGTCAGATACCTTCAGCAGCAGTGAAAGATATCACCACTGTCACAAAGACAACAAGAAGAACCATTTTACTATTTTTAGCCTAATAAAACTGCTTTTAGTAACTGACATTAGTATGGAATTTATAATGTATCAAATAAACTGTAATTTTAACATTGTCTTTATGTTAGATTTATATAATGATCCTGTCATGGCTTAAATGGCAATAACTTTTTACAGGTTGTAAGAAATCATCTGATAGAGAATCCAATTGTTTCTATATGACTGTGTGTTTTTAACATAATAAAGCATTAATTTATACACACCATATATATCTATTCTCTGTCTACAGAACATCTCTGCGACCACATATACAAATATACAGTGCCTTCGAAAAGTTTTCAGACCCCTTCACTTTTTCCACATTTTGTTGCGTTACAGCTTTATTCTAAAATGGTTTAAATAAATGTTTTTCCTCATCAATCTACGCACAATTCCCCATAAAAACAGGTTTTTAGAAATGTTTGCAAATGTATTACAAATAAAAACAGAAACCTTTGCTCTGAGACTCGAAATTGAGCTTAGGTGCATCCTGTTTCCATTGATCATCCTTGAGATCTTTCTACAACTTGATTGGAGTCCACCTGTGGTAAATTCAATTGATTGGACATGATTTGGAAAGGCACACACCTGTCTATATAAGGTCCCAAGGTTGACAATGAATGTCAGAGAAAAAACCAAGCCATGAGGCCGAGACAGGATTGTGTCACATTGGCCTCCATCATTCTTAAATGGAAGAAGTTTAGAACCACCAAGACTCTTCCTAGAGCTGGCCGCACGACCAAACAGAGCAATTGGGGGAGAAGGGCCTAGGTCAGGGAGGTGACCAAAACCTGATGGTCACTCTGGTAGAGCTCTAGAGTTCCTCTGTGTAGATGGGAGAACCTTCCAGAAGGACAACCATCTCTGCAGCATTCCACCAATCAGGTCTTTATGGTAGAGTGGCCAGACGGAAGCCACTCAGTAAAAGGCACATGACATGGCAGGCATCTAAAGACTCTTAGACCATGAGAAACAATATTCTCTGGTCTGATGAAGCCAATATTGAACTCTTTAGCCTGAATGCCAAGCGTCACGTCTGAAGGAAACCTGGCACCATCCCTATGGTGAAGCATTGGGGTGACAGCATCATGCTGTGGGGATGTTTTTCAGCGGCAGGGACTGGGACACTAGTCAGGATCGAGTGAAAGATGAATGGAGCAAAGTATAGAGAGATCCTTGATGAAAACCTGCTCCAGAGCACTCAGGACCTCAGACTGGGGCAGAGGTTCACCTTCCAATAAGACAATGACCCTAAGCACACAGCCAAGACAATGCAGGAGTGGCTTCGGGACAAGTCTCTGAATATCCTTGAGTTGCCCAGCCAGAGCCCGGACTTGAACCCGATCAAACATCTCTGGAGACACCTGTAAGTAGCTCTGCAGTGACGCTCCCCCTCCAACCTGACAGAGCTTGAGAGGATCTGCAGAGAAGAATGGGAGAAACTCCCCAAATACAGGTGTGCCAAGCTTGTAGCCTCATACCCAAGAAGACTCAAGGCTGTAATCACTGCCAAAGGTGCTTCAACAAAGTACAAAATAAAGGGTCTGAATACTTATGTAAATGTTATATTTCCGTTATTTGTTTGTAATAGACTTGCAAAAATGTCTAAAAACCTGTTTTTGCTTTGTCATTATGGGGTGTTGTGTGTAAATTCACCCCCCCCCCCCAGTTTAATCAATTTTAGAATAAGACTGTAACGTAACAAAATGTGGAAAAAGTCAAGGGGTCTGAATACTTTCCGAATGCACTGTATTATTCAATGCTATTGCTGTTACAACTAATATTATTATTTAATGTTGGAGGCTTATGATGAAAACCAAGAGCCAGAAATGCAGCTTTTATGCAGTGGTGGGTAAATTTACATTATGGATTACTTTAACCCTTGGGCTGGGATGGGTTGGGGTTGGTAGTATTAGCAGCACTAGAGATCATTCACTGTTTCCTGTCCAAACATCAAAAGATCAATCATTTCAGTAAATGTTTCATTTCTCTCCAAAAATAAGCAACCGTATCAAGCCAATATTTGATTGCCTTGATCCAGTAACTCTGACTTGCTTTATAATGTCTTCTTAAAAAAGTCATTCCCGGGAAGCTCAAACTATGGTAAGCCAGAGAACACACTTCTAAGATTGCAGTCAGCCAATAAAATCTCTTGTTTCAGTGTTCCCTCCTACTGTATGACGGCTACATGTAAAGTGCCTTCATATATAAGGTGCCGATAGGTATCACACGTTCAGACCCACACACTATACAGTACAGAAGGGACTAATGTTACAGTGATGAATAGAGAGGTATTTTTGTTTTACATCAACTTGGGTAAGTGTAAGACATTTTAATTGAGTTCCTTTTTTAATCGTTTGTAGTATGTAGTTTGAATATGATATGTGAAGTAGGATGTTCTGTCTGTAATGGGTAGAAATGGTTTATCAATGTCTTTGTCTTTGATCTATTTTGTTTGTTTGCTTTGACAGTTTGTGCTCATACCAAACCAAACGTAATCCAACCAGACCATGTGATGGTTACTGAGCTGGGAGGCACTGTGACACTGACTTGCTTTTGTCCCAAAGTGTCGGTGACCAGGTTTGATTGGTTCAAGCAGAGTTTTGGACAGAAACCCCTCCTCATGGCATCATCTCTTTATGTGGGTCAAGACAGTTATTATTCCAACAACTTTATCAAGGACTTTACTGAGACCAAACGTTTGGGTGTGAGGAGAGGAGTCTACAGCTGTAACTTGACCATATCCTTGACAGAGCCAGGGGACACAGCTACATACTATTGTTCCATTAAAGCCATCTATGAGCAAATATTTGGAGAGGGAACTGTTTTAATTGTCAAAGGTAACACAATGTCTTTCTTCAATTTCAAATTGTGTGGCCCTGTACGTTGATATGTTCGTACAACTGCTTCATCAAATGCTAGTGATGATTACATGGCTTTTCATGTTTTTCACCCACTTAGTCTTACTTTAGTTATTCACTCTCTTCAGACTCAGAGTCCAACAGCATGGCTGTGCTCCAGCAGCCTGTGTCTGAGTCAGTCCAGCCAGGAGATTCTGTGACTCTAAACTGTACAATACAGACTGAGACCTGTGTAGGACAACACAGTGTCTATTGGTTCAGACATGGCTCAGGAGAATCCCGTTCAGGAATCATTTACACCCATGGAGACAGGAGTGATCAGTGTGAGAAAAGCCCTGAGACTGGGTCTCCTACACAGAGCTGTGTCTACAACCTCCCCAAGAGGAACCTCAGCCTCTCTGATGCTGGGACTTACTACTGTGCTGTGGCCTCATGTGGGGAGATCCTGTTTGGGAACGGGACCAACTGGACATTGACCCTAAGTGGTACTGTGGTGGAAATTCAACACCAGGGACACCTGAAGTCAAACTTAAATGAATCACTCTTTATTTGTCAGCTAGCTGGAGAGTTTCCATCGAACTTAATGCATGATAGTGAATGCCTGTCAGAAGCTCAGCTGGGGCAGTCTCAGCAGTTGCCTTATAACGGCTATACATTTTTACATTTTTAGTAATTTAGCAGACGCTCTTATCCAGAGCGACTTACAGTTAGTGAGTGCATACATTTTCATACTGGCCCCCCGTGGGAAACGAACACACAACCCTGGCGTTGCAAGCGCCATGCTCTACCAACTGAGCTACAGGGGAACACAGACAAGTTATATTTGCATGATTTAGCATAATTAATTCATCATTACCGGTGGCTCGTACATGTGACTGACCAATTCCTCATGAAGCTCTCTCTCTCTCCAAGTTGAGACCTTGAAACTGAGATACCTTGGTTGTTCCCATAGCAATATTCTGGGCATACTGCCAAAATGAGGATCAGTGATAGTGAGGATTCCTCCATACACGATCTGTCAGTCACCTGCATGAACCCATCTAGTTGGTTACAAGAAGTAGCATTGATTTTGATACACAAACGTACAATTTCCCTTACATTCCCTCCTCTTATCACTCTGTGATAATTATCGTACAATTTTAATGCAAGCATTAGATTATAGCTTCTATCAAAGGAGGTTCTATAAAAATATTTATATTAAAGTAAGCGAAATCAACACATAAAACCAGACAATTCATCCTTTCAAACCCTTTACTCTGGGTTTTACAATCTAAAATACACACACGTACACAAGGGGTCTACAGGCTCAGAGGTGACTAAATCTCTCAATGTTTACATAGTTCTTACCACAATCGGGTTGCAGTGATATCTGTTCTGCACCAACTGTCCCCGAGACTAGTCAAAACATAAAACTGTTGTTTAACAAATCCGCTAGAGCCTTCTAAACTTGTACACTAAAAACAACCTTCAATTCTCACTCATCGTCCTTATCTACAGGGGGAAAGGGAAGCTCATCCAGTGTCGGCAGCTCATCAGTCTCACCATCCTCTTGAGGAGCATTAAACATAATGGCTGCCAAAACTTTCCCAGCTAGGGAGGAACAAATAGCCGTACAACATTTTAGTAAGACAATTAGACAGACTAAGCAAGAAACACATGGTGCAGCCCTTTGGGCAATCTGGGATCCCCAACTTCCAAACAGATTTCAACCAAGTTGCAAGCGTCCACTCGGGCTGTGGGGAATTGTTCTTAGCCATAGTGGCAATGTATTCGGCAAGATCGGTAACATTAGAGTTCCTATCTGGGACAAAAGTGCCCCCTTGAGCTAATTTATGCAATTCTTTCAGTTCGTCATTTAACTGTTCCAGGGCATTTTGAGTAGCATTGCCAATTTCCTCTACGTGTTTAGAGGCATCACACATTTGATCTAGGGCACATGCAACTCCATACCCCGGAAAAAACACACCAAAGAACCTGGAGGCAGGTGCCTGAGTGTGAGTGATGTCAGCTAGAGACCTCTTATCTCTCCTCATTCCAGCCAGAAGGTTTGTCATTTCTAAACAGAGCCTCAGGACTCTTATCATTGTTTGGAACGGTTCTCATACCTGTCACCACAAAGCCACAACTACCTCCCCAGTTCAGGGGCAGGCTATAGTAAGCCATTTTTCCACACAACCAATAGGTGCCATTTGGGGCTCCTCTCAAAGGGATAAGAACATTATAGACTGAAATTCCATCAGTAACATTACCAGGTTCCCCAGTGTCGGCATTGTTAACAATTAACTTACAGGTACTGGACCCGTTGTAATACATTGCACAATTACATTCTAGTTCACCCAAATGATTACCTCCTTCTCCTCTAATACACCAAGGGGCTGTCATCACTCCTGCTACTGAGATGGGTGGGAGTAAAGTATTATCTGGCCTAGCAAACGACGGTGGGCCTATGTGGTTGTATAATGCAGAAAACGTCATGGGGTCAGGGTTACGTGGCATCTCTACTAGGAATGGTAAGTCCATTTGTATAATCAGATTTACCCCTATGGGAACTCTTACAAGTGGTAAACCTGCTCCTACCTTAACTGGCCCCAATCCACACACCCAACACTATTTTTGTCCAGATGTAAGATTAGCAACCATTTCTGCTCTAGAGAGGAACAGATTGTCCTCATAGTTATGAGGGCCCAGCAGGGCTCTCCTTCTCCGATTATCATCTACTTCTGGGCCCCTTTGGCTCGGGACTTATCTCACCCTCTGTCAGGTTTCCAAGAAGAGGACAACCTACTGTTCTTATTAGCACTCCTGTCCTAATGCAGAGGAGGGCCACACTGCAACACCGGAACTGGCGAGGCCTCATCTTCTCCTGAATCAGGAATTTGTCTGCAGTGCGACACGTGGATCCAGGTATCTCTCTCAGCAACCTTCACCGCAGTGGGGGTGGTCAGAAGTACTTGTTACGGCCCTCTCCAACGGGGGTCCTTCCAACTCTTTCTCCTGAAGTCTTTGACCACCACGAAATCACCTGGGCTCAAACAGTGCTCAGCTCCACCTGCCAAGTTCGGCAATGACACCTTCACTCGAGGAAAGAGAGTCTTAAGAACACTGTTAAGGGTGACACAATACTCAACCATGTCTTCCTCCATTCCTTGCAGGGACAACCTATTCTGGGCGAAGGGTGTATTCGTCATTCGCATGGGACGGCCAGTCAGCACCTCGTGTGGAGAGAGACCAGTGACTGTATGGGATTTGTACATAGTTTCAGAGTAACATGAGACATCCTCAATAGAATGTTCTGATAATCTAGCAGTCTCGCAGGCATCAAATGAGCCATTCTTGCCTATGTAATAATTGTGTGCACAGCATGGGGCACATGGACTGTTAGGGGAGACATAGCCACAATATCAGAACATGCCAAAACAGCTTCAGTAGCAGCAGCTACCAATCTCAAACAGGAAACCATTCCCCTGATCACACTATCTAATCGTTTAGAATAATAACCAACAGGTCTATATCCCTCACCATGATACTGTGTCAAAACTGCTAACATAAACCCACTCGTCTCCGAAACAAAGAGATGGAAGGGTTTATTATGGTCTGGCAAACCCAAGCAAGAGGTAGACATTAATGTTTGTTTCAATTTTACCAATGCCATCTCTGCCTCATACGACCAGACCACAACTTCCCTCGCATCCATCTTTCTCCCATAAATACAATCCTGCAGCGGTTGAACTATCTCTGCATAGTCTTTCAACCATGGTCGACAGTAACCAGCCACACCCAACAAAGACATAATGTGCTGCTTGGTAACAGGTTTAGGCAAAGCCTTAATTGCCTCTAATCTGTCTTTGGAGAGTGCTCGACCCTCAGAAGTAATGTCATGACCCAAATATTTAACGGAGCTCCGGCATAATTCCTTTTTACTCCGGGAAACTTTATGACCATTTTCTGCCCAAAAAATCAACAATGCCCTAGTGTCCTAGTGACATATCTCCTCTGATTGTGAGCAAACCAACAAATCGTCAACATACTGAACCAAAGTACTCCCTCCCGGAGCAACAAAACCCTCTAGGTTTCGAGATATTTCTTGGGCAAAGATCGCCAGTGATTCCATGTAGCCTTGTGGCATCACCGTCCATTTCCATTTAGCCCCAAGAAATGTAAACGGGAACCAGTCCTGTGACTCTTCAGCCACAGGGTTGCTAAAGAAAGCATTAGCTAAATAAATTACTGAAAAACAACAACTACCTGGAGGCACCTGGGATAAAATGGTAACAGTGTTAGGCACCAGGGGTGCTCTAGCATATACAGCATTGTTTACTAGTCTAAGGTCTTGCACAAAACGATAATCACCAGATGGTTCCTAACAGGTAAAATTGGTTTGTTACATGGCGAAATCATGGAGGGAACCAGAGCGCCTCTTTCAACTAACGCACTATGAACGGGAATTATACCCTTTTCGGCTTCTTTGCTAAGAGGGCACTGAGCTTGGTAAGGTCTGTGGTTGCTTTTTGGAATTACCACAACTGGTGCAGCTCCTTTCAGGCGTCCAATGTCGGTCTTTGATTTAGCCCACAGTTCTTCAGGTATATCTTCTAGCCAATCAATGTATGAATTATCTTGTAATACCACAGGCATGGTTTCAACGGGAATTGGTTATTTTATTGGTGTTGTCATTGCAGTAGCCGGTATGGGGAATAGAAAGTTGCTGTTGAAGCTGACCACTTTCTTTCCCCTTCCCAGGCCACCCAATCAGTTGCTTCCATCACTTTCTTCATCCAAATACCCACATATTTCCATTGCTTTCCAGGTGCTTTTGATAAGCTACAATGGGGAACAGAGCCAGTGACTTCATACAAACTCATCTTAGTATCCGTCAACAACTCCAGCTCCTACGATGTCTTCTCCTCTGTATATCCCATTCATGGTTATCTCAACTTTCTCATTTTTTTTTACCATCTCTGTTGGTATTCAGGGTCCTCTTCGCATGAGGGAACAGCAGCAGTACAATGTAGGTATTCAGACACTTCCCAGTTACCACTTCCCAGGGAAGAGAGTGATTGCTCTCTCAGCTGTTCCTCAACATGCTGATCATTCAGGTGCCAAGCATTGTAACAGTTCATCAGGCAAGGGAAGATTCCATTTTCTCTCGATCCCAATGACTATCATTCTTCAGTACAGGCAACAGATAAATTCATTTTACACATCAAATCTCTTCCTAATAGATTTACTGGGCAGGCGGAGGAGTACAGGAATCGGTGTCTCCATTTGCCCTCTCCCCACTCCACATTCAGTGGAAAAGTCAAACATTCTTCCGATGGAATTCCAGACGCTCCAACTGTGTGCATTGTTTTTTGAGGGGGTGACAGACAGGGCAGACATTTTCAACAGTGAGACCGCGGCCCCAGTGTCCACCAAAAATTGAATTTTATGTTTATTAACTAAAATATCAATAAGGGGGTTTTTGGGTTGACAAGGTGGTCAATTTTAGCATTTGACAGGTTTCTTCTGGTTCTTCATCATTGTCTTCTTCATTAGTTTCTTCTTCTGTTTCCGCCTCATCCTATGGTTGGCAGCCCCATCGTCCACCTCCTCTTCCAAATGGGTTGTTCACCTGCACGCCCACAGCTGGGTACGGCCACTCTCCTTGGCCTTACTGGGCAGTGTGTTGAAAAATGCCCTTGCTTCCGATAGTTGTAGCAACTCCAGTCTCGCCCTCCGTCAGCTCCAGCAGGAGCAGCTCGACCTCTACCTCTTCCTCTACCTCTTTGGTTTCCATGGTTGCCACCATTTTCTCGATGTCTTCTTCCTCCTCCAGAGTAGTACATCAGCTGTCTTTCTGTCCTTAGTTTAATTTTCCTTCAACTGAGTCTTGGTCAGGCGTCAGGCCTGAGTGTTGGAGGAAGACAGTCTCCATTCTTTCCATGTAGTCACTAAATTTTTAATCAGTTCCCTGTATGGTTCTTCTGGCTCTTCTGCCAGTCTGTGCGTTTGGGGAAAGCAGCCTTTATAGCGGTAAAAACTGCATCCAGCTGGTCAACTTCAACTGTATCTGTAGCAGATGAAGGGGTTGTATCTGTATCTTTGGTGTGTTTCTTTTCAGGACCCGTCTCTATGACAACATGTCCAGCAGTCTCTTGTACGGATGCAGGGGTAAGTAGAATTCCTTACATTTTGGATTACCAAAAAAATATGTATGAAAATGTTTATAGTGAATAATAACATATAGTAATTGTTTCTCACAGGCCCAAGATGCAGACAATCTCCACTACGTAGCTCTGAATCTGAGAAAGAAGAAGAACAGGTCTGGAAGACAGAGAAGCCAAATGGAGGAAGAGACAGTGTATGCTGGGATCAGACAGTAGAACTGGATGAATGAAACAGTCCAATGAATTCGCTTTTTATTAATTCTCATTTTATTAACATTATTAGCTGAATTACTGTAACTAATAATTACTGTAGCTACTTGAATTAAGTACATTGCATCTCTGCCAAACTCATTTTAAATGGACTTGCTTGTGATTAGATGAATAAAGCATTTAACAACAGTCAAGACAAAGGAAGTTGAATGTATTTATTTAGGCCATACACAGGCATCTTTAAAAGTGAAATATGCAGAAATCGCTACACCATTTTCTGGTTGCTAAAATTCTAATAGTTTGCCTAATTTCTGTTTATGGGATAAAACAAGCAATGCATAGTGTAGAGAATCATTGTACCATCTAAACCGCTGTGAAATACATTTTTAATAACTCAAAATATTGTATTTTCAGCTGTTTAAACCTGGTGTACAAAACCGAAAGTAAATGATGCAAAAAACTAAACTTAAGAACGGAAAGCTTAGAAATAGAGCACTTAGAACAGATCTACCGATTCTTAGACTTGCTTTCAATGAGAATGAAAGATCTATAACTCACATTTCTATGTGAATTTGGTCAGGTCGGCCAACAGTTACACATTGTTGTTTTAAGAACAGGAAGCATAGAAATAGTGCACTTAGAACAGATCTACCGCTTCTTAGACTTGCTGTCAATGAGAATGACAGATTTACAGTTAGTCTGCGGTCTGTGATGAACACAAGATGAGGATGTATCTGCGCTTTGTTAGGGCCTGCTGGCTTTGTACACAGGACCCTCTGCTCTCTTTCTTTCTCTCTGTTGTTCTCTCTCTCTCTCTCTCTCTCTCTTCTCTCTCTCTCTCTCTCTCTCTCTCTCTCTCTCTCTATCTCTCTCTCTCTCTGTCGCTCTCTCTTTCTCTGTTTCTGTGGTTTTCAGACGGAAGTCTCAGAACTCTTAGCTCTCTCATACCGTAGGCTATACTACTTGCTCTTCAAGTTGACCATTTTAACAACAGTAAACCAACTCTTTTGATGAGGCAGCTTATCTATACATAGTCTACTGAAATCTGTGAAAAAACACAATGAGCTATTCATGAGGTCATTTGACCTAGATCTGTAGTTCTTAGTCAAACACAACACAGTTTTAACTGTGAAGTATTATCATCACCTATAGGCCTAGAGGAATCTGCCTCCTCAATAACAAAATCATGGGAAGGTGTTCTATCCATCCAGCCAATTGAGTAAAAGTCCTGAATTAGAGATCACTAAAAGAGTATTACTGTATTGTGTTCGTTAAAAAAAAAATCAATTTATGTTTTTTTGTGTGTCTTGACGTAAACAACAGTAGCTGTAGAGATAAAGAATAAGGGATTTCAAACTTGAATGATCATTACTAAATTTGTACTAAATATATAAGGATAAGAATATACCTATATTAAAATATTTGTGTGTCTGATTCAGTCCAGCCACGAGACTCTGTGACTCTGTACAATGTGAAGAAGATTGTCTTAACGGAATAAGGCGTCAACAAAAATGATGCGTCCAGTTCGACCAATCATCTGTAACTCCATTGTTGAAGTGTTGTCTACATAGGTGGACTTTTTCCACTCAAGACAGGTTGTGAAGAGGATGTCAACTTCAAAGAGGATCACACTGTGTATGATATTTCCACTTCTTGTAGAGATGGGTAAGTCCAACTTTTATATTTCTCTGCTTATGTGATGTCCGCCCTTGATTTTAATGCATGAGATATCATATTTAATACTTTACAGCAACTTTGAATATTATAAGTTGTATTTGGGGTATGTAACAGCAAATATACTGTATTGTTCATGTTCTTTAATATATGTGGTAGCTGGTACTGAGTCCTCATCCATACGTCAGGACAGTGTTCTCATATCAGCCAACGTTGGAGACGCAGTGATTGTGCACTGCTTCTATGAAGGCCACATGGCCATGCATTTCTCCTGGTACAAGCAACCCTTGGGAGATAAGCTTCAACTCTTATCAACCGTCTATAAGTTTGACATGAACGCAACATTCTACCATGAGTTTAAGGATAACCCTCGCTTCTCAGTGGAAAATGGCCAAGAAAAGAATCACCTAAGGATCTCAGACATGCAGCTCTCTGATTCAGGCACATACTACTGTGGAAGTGCTTATGGCAACAAGGTGGAGTTGGGAGAAGGAGCCATTCTCATAATAAAAGGTACGTTTTTGTCAAACTGAATTTACAGATATGCGGTGTAAATATGGAGTATTATCTTAATCAGATTAGATGTTAATTTAACAAATGTTGAGGTTGAAAACTTTCTACAGAAATATTCTAGCGATTCAATGGGTTTATTGAACTTCTTGTCAGGATCAGAGTCCAGAAACATGTATGTGCTCCAGCAGCCTGTGTCTGAGTCAGTCCAGCCAGGAGACTCTGTGACTCTGAACTGTACAATACACACTGAGACCTGTACAGGAGAACACAGTGTCTATTGGTTCAGACATGGCTCAGGAGAATCCCGTCCAGGAATCCTTTACTCCCATGGAGACAGGAGTGATCAGTGTGAGAAGAGCCCTGAGGCTGGGTCTCCCACACAGAGCTGTGTCTACAACCTCCCCAAGAGGAACCTCAGCCTCTCTGATGCTGGGACTTACTACTGTGCTGTGGCCTCATGTGGGGAAATACTTTTTGGGAACGGGACCAAGCTGTACATTCAAGGTAATTCCAATTTAATCTGTAAATATCCCCAACAATACTGTATATTCATGCAAACGGCCTACCTCAAAACGATCCCATACATATGTCTCAACAAGCTATACAATATCACCATTAGCTTTTGATGCCATATTTTATTGTTTGATGATCTTCCTAAGCGCTCATAAATACAATATGAATTCCCTGATATCCTTTCCACAGTTCCAGAGCATGATTCTCCATTTGATCTGAGTCCTACTGTTCTGGCCTTGGTCGTCTCCAACATCGTTCTGGGGATAGTGACCCTTCTACTTGTCTGGGTGCTGTGCAAGACTCAGAACAGAGATAGCAGAGGTAGTACTTTATATCTAATGTATCCAATGTATCTAACGTTATAGCTGATGTATCTAATGTTTCATGCATCTCTATGCAATGTACCTTCTGTAAATATCAGTTAAATAACCAAAGTATAAGCATTGTTAATTAACTACATGTGGATAAAAAGAGATAGATTGTCATAAAAAATATTTCAATCTCTTTGAAGGGAGGACAGATGTCCCAACGTCCCAGGGCAATCAGGTACATTTGTCAACATTTATAAATACAGTATATTTTCAGTTTTTACAAGAAACTGCTATTTAACTTTCCTTGCAGCTAGTAATCTGCTTATATGTGCTATTTATGTTATTAAGGTTTCTTGGAAGCAATAGGTCACTGTACTAGATGAAGCCTTCTGATGTTTGTGATCGTTGTTAATTTTTCCATGAAACTTCTGTCTGTCACTGTTCCACTGACTGTCAGGTCATTGTAGTGGGTGTACAGTCTGAACAGTCCTGTCTTTTGTAGAGTCTTTTCTTCCACAGGAGAATAGAAACATTATATAGTAGATCATGATATCATCATAATGTATTTTCACACGGCTCCACCCCCCTCAGAATCAAGACAGTGATGTGTTGAACTATGCAGCTGTGAGTTTCACCCCCAAGAAGAACTCCTCCTCCTCTAGAAGAGCAAGAGAGAAGACCAGCAGAGAGGATGCAGTGTACTCTGAGGTCAAATACCTGCAGCAGCAGTGAGAGGTATCACCACTGTCACAAAGACTCCAAGAAGAACCATTTAACTATTTGTAGCCTAATGAAACTTTTAGTATCTGAAATTGGTATGGAATTTACAATGCAACAAAGAAACTGTAATTTTAACATTGTCTGTAAGTTAGATGTATATAATGATCCTGTAATGCGTTAAATAGCCATATGTTATGCCCTGACCTATAGAACTCTTGTTTGTTGAGTCAGGGTGTGGAAATCTATGTTAAATTTTCTATGTTTATGTTCTAGGTAGTCTATTTCTATGTCTGGCCGGGTATGATTCCCAATCAGAGGCAGCTGTCGCTCATTGTCTCTGATTGGGGATCATACTTAGGTAGCCTATTGCCTACTGTGTATGGTGGGATCTTGTTCCTGTTTAGGCTGGTATTTGTATAGCCTTTTGGACTTCATGTTACGTTGTTTCTTGTTTTGTTTGTATGTTTATTTGGGTGAATAAACATGTACGCTTTTCACGCTGCACCTTGGTCCGACCCGTCTCTCAACGATCGTGACACCATAACTTTTTACAGCTTTTTATTGTAACAAATAATCTGACAGACAATCCCATTTTTGCTCTATGACTGTGTGTTTTTAACATAATAAACCATTAATTGATAAACTCCGTACATCTCTATTCTCTGTCTACAGTACATCTCTGCTATCACATATACAAATATACAATATGATCAAAGGAATAGCAGTTTAGGTGAATATGTGTCAGGCGAACACCAACCATTATATAACAATGTTTAGTCTAGTTGAGATAAAAATATTTTTTTCAGGAGAGAACATGAGAATCTCTCTGACTCCACATACCGCATAGCTAAACATTTATATGATTTACAATAAATGCTCTCTTTGTAAGAAGTGCAGTGTCGGTTCACACACCTACCAGGCAGGGTGTGATTTGATGTGTCTCCCACCAATCAGAGAAAAAAGTTTCCTTTCTGCCTTTCTCTGTAACTGTCACGCAAGAAGCCTACTGATCACAGTACTACACCAGTCCATTTGGTTCAGGGCGAGAGTAACCACTCAGGATGGATTACAAGATGACCCCACTATTCATCTATATGGCGATTCTGCTTCTCACTTGTAAGCACTGTATGTGCAGTCAATTTCTCCTGTGTTTCAGTAGCTATTTACTGTAAGATATCTGACAATATCCTCCACCTTGGCTCAACATATTGACATGGCTTTACTGTAACTCTTATGCAAATTAGGGTTGTGAATTGATTACATCAATTAGCCAAACATGAACCCTTTACCTCTGGATGATTTACACCATTAGCAAATATTTCCATCTCCAACTATGTCCTCTGTCCTGTGTGTTCCAGATGGTACCATGCATCCCATTGTATCTCAGCCTGTGCTGACAGAATCGTTGCCCATAGGGGGATCTGTGACTCTGGAGTGCTTCTCCACTGTAGACTCAGTGTTATCCTGGATAGGGCTGAAACACACACCAGGACATGGACTTGTTCTCATTGTAACAACCTACTATGAAAAAGTGCAATTCCAGGGAGATTTTGCAAATATGTCTCATTTTGAGCTGCAAATTATGATTTTTGTTTTAATTTGACACTTTGGAATGTTGCCCATACTGATGTTGGATCGTATCATTGTGGAATATTCTGGTATAAATTAATACTATTTTGGAGATCGTGCATATCTCATGATTCAAGATCAGTGAAGAAAGAGAAAGTTTAGTAAGAATCTATGTTTCCAATTTCAATTTCTGATTTTCTTCCATCAGAATGTCAAGATTGTGTGTGGTTCTCTTTAGCCAATCAATCAACTCAAGTGATTCGGAACCAGGCTGGACATTGAAGGAAAGACATTCTAAGAGCTGATTATAAAAAATAAAAAAAACGTTTTACACATTATGTATTCTCCTCACACGGGGCACCAAATGTAGGTACAGCTATCATACTTGTAAATGAATGTGCAGGGTTTTCTGATCAGCAAACTTCTCTCTTTCTTTATTTTTGAATCTGAACATGGACACACAAAAATGCTGCTGCACTGAGCTTCTCAATGAACAGATCAGTGTAGAAGAGGGAGAGGGCAGGATGGACACATTTCTGAGACACGTTGTGTAAACTCCCATGAAGCAACGGCCGTGAAATAATCCCAGTCTTGTTTGAGTATGTTAAAATATCATACTGTATCTAATTCTGTTATGTGAATTATTTAACAAACTATTTTAGTGTCTCTGTGCGTCTCCCAAAAGGTTGTAAGTCTTTTGGGATTTAAGTAACGGCCAGAGTCCCGGTCTGCATAGTCAGAGATATTTAATCATTGAGAATTCTGCCATCACAATTTCAGAGTCCATCTTTTATACTCATACGTCATACAAAAAGAAATCCCTCCCCTCTGTAGGCGGGCTGTAGTTTTCCACTCTAAAACTGCTCTACTGACCTTCAGTTCACACACACACACATATACACACATGCATACACACACACACACACACACACACATATCCTACTCCCTGCATTACTCAGTTATTGCCGTTCTCACAATATTCTGCACCATGTTTTCATAACAGTTTCCCCCCTCCCTAAATTGGGAGGCCTCTTTATCTTAGTTTCTCAGTTGTCTTTGTTGTCTGGCCTAACTCTTACTCACATTGCTAAATAGTGGCTCAATGCCATAGCCTTTACTGGTCCTACACTCACACATTTCTAACACATTATACACAGTTTCAGGGTGTAATAATTAGTCATTAATAATTAATCTATCAATTCCACCCTTTGACTAAATATTACACACATACAAAATATATGTTGTTATAGAAATGAATCACACTCATTGAAGTATATAAGTTGGTTTGCATATTAAAACATTACAGGTTCATCAGGGTTACCCCATGATTAAAAACATAACGTTACTTTTTAGCAATGGTAACTAGTACATCATACTTAAAATGAGACTTTAATACGCAAAAGATCATTACAATAACTTTTAAACTAGAGATTTATAGTTCTAGGAAAACATCCAGTCTCAAATTATCTGGATCGTCGTCGTCCTCCACCAAGCCTGGTAGGTCATATCCTTCAGTCGGAGTCCGGGATTGGGCCGTATCTCACCATCTGTTGGGAAACCGCCTTGCTCACCAACCCTCAGACACAGGGAATAAGACAACATCCACAAAGAACAAGTATACCCATAGAAGCTATAACTTCACCCAGAATAGTTACAACAATAGTTTTCAATTTACCAAATATGTTATCAAACTAACCGTTTAGGGAGCTATCAATACCAGAGTTCTCAGCCAGTTCGTTCGCCAGCGTGGTGAGTCCCTGAAGCGCTTTGGTCACGGACCCGTCCGGTGCTGTATTGTTGGGGATGAAAGTACAGCACATAGATCCAAACAGAACACAAACTCCGTCCCGCTCAGCCAAAAGCATATCTAAAGATATTCTATTCTGCCATGTCATTAAGCTAGTTGCCGCTGTCTGCTCAGCTAATCCCTTTATTGCATCACGAGTGTGGTTTATAAATCTTTGCTGGTTATAGTAAACATAATTCATCCAATCTACGTTTTTATTAATTGTTGACCACCAGAAAATACTTGATTCAAACCCAGCTGCGATCTGATTCCTAGCTTTAAATTGTTCTGGAACCCTCGAGGTACTGCTATCCCATCAATATATATCCTTTCATCAAAGGATCCCAGGAGGAGGTCCTACTTTCTACGTGACAACTCACCAGTCTCTGAACCGTTTTGGCTTTTTGCATATGTAGGTGAGTTCACAATCTGTTGATCACCACACAACCATCAGATGTCAGCACGGGCCCTGGTTTTGGTCTCCCCCCCCCCCCCATTACCTTTCCCTCCTTCCCCTTCTCCCTCTTTTTGGGGCCCCCCCCCCCCTTTCCCCCCCCACCCCCCCCCGGGTTCCCCCCCAAATTTCCTTTTTTTCCTTTTCCCCCTCCCCCCCCCTTTTAACTTTTTCCTTTTTTTCTCCCCGGGGGTTTCCCCCCTTTCCCTTCCCCCTTTTCCCCCCCCCCTCTTATTTTTTTCCTCCCTTTCCCCCCCCTTTTTCCCCCACCCAAAAATTTTTTTTAAATTTTTTTTTCCCCTTTTCTTTATTCCCCTTCTCTCCTTTCCCCTTTTTTCTTTTTCCCCCTTTTTTTTTTGTCCTAATTCCTTTCCCTCTCGTTTTTTTTTTCCCCCTACCCTTTTTTTCCCCCTTTTCCCCCACTTTTTTCCCCCCCCCCCCCCCTCTTTTTCCTTTTTTGGTCCCCCTCCCCTTTTACTTCCCCTCACCAGTCTTTTGACACGTTTGATTTTTTGGGATATGTAGGTGAGTTCACAATCTGTTATCACCACACAACCATCAGATGTCAGCACGGGCCTGGTTTGGTTCCTAAAATCCTCTGGCTGCAACAAAGAGGAGAGATTAGTCATGGTTTCTTTAGGTGTGACATTCTCTGTGTGGGAGCAGGAGCTAAGATGCCCTACCCTGTATCCTATCCTTACTAGTCCTAGAAAAACAATAATAAGAATCCCCTGAGACTTCAAACGGAGGCAACCTAGGTCGGGGTGACTTTGTTATCAGGGGATACAGAAAGTGCAAGTTACTACAAGACTCTTTCACCACATTCCCAGGTGGCTTGCATGGAGGATAAACCTGACACAGAGTTAAAGCCTGTCAAGGGGAACGGAGTAGTTGTTAACCTTGGTTTGGCTGTCCTACAGGCATAACAGTCCTCTTTAGACCGTATATGAATCCATTCCAACCACAGGTTAAAATCTATTTACTCCGTCTCCATCTGTACTACTTCCTTCAGGTCTATAGTTTACACTGTCTCACTACCTCCCTCAGAGAGGTTTACTCTATAGGGTGCCCCAGTTGAAGAAGATATCTCACTTGTCAGGTCTGTAATCTGTTTTAGCATAATTCAGACTTTCAGACAGTACCCTACCCTCATATGGGTCGCACTGCCATTTCTGATAATTCCCTACTTTCACAATACTACACCTGTCCCTAAACTGTGTATGGAGATTGACATATCCCCCCCCCCCCCCGCTTGGTATAAGCAACTACATAGTCCCAGGATGTACATGGTGACATACATATGGTGATGTCCTTCCCTAAAGTCCCTAGTATTTCCCCTTTCCCTACGTCTAGCTGTCTCCTATGCCTTTTCAACTTGTGTTAGGTTAACTACCACTTCTGGCTGAAACAGGAGGGTCCGTGTGTGTTAGGAATATGGCCCCCACAATCAGACAGCTACCTACCGTCA